TAATATTATTTAAAAGTGTGTAATTTGTGGAATTTATATAATTCAAAGTATAGAACATCGCTATGCTCAAACTTATGGGCCTCATGTATGCGACATATTCTACAATCAAACAGTGCTTTTGTTGTTATTACACTATATACACACATTGTATATACCCATCTACGTATGTATTCACCATAACGATCCACTATGTTGGTATGGTGAGCCCAAAAAACATGAGTGAGCTGCCACACCCTGCCAGTCCTCCCTCCCTCCTCCAACACATTACTCGCCAACATTCCTCCTCCCAAAATACTGTTATTGTGTTTATTACACTATTTACACACGTTATGTATAAGTATGTACATGTTTTATTCATGTACATACGTACATACTTGCCATCTCCTCACCTCTCTCTCTTGCCTACTTAATGCTCTTGCTTCCCTCATCTCATCACAATCGACTTTATAATGGTCCAGGACGGATCGAAATGTCGTCGTCTATTCAATTTCCAGTGTGTGGTTTGGTCAACAATGAAATCTTCATACAAGATCTTATAAAGAAAACCCCTAGAACGAGTTTTGCAGATACGAAAGAGGTTAAGGTGAGTAGGGGATGGTTTGAATAATTTTGAAAAAAGACGTGGTATTCATAGTGTTGTGAGGCATGGTGAGGGTGCCAGCTCAGACAAAGTAGGGGCTGAAAGATTTGTTCGTGATTTTAAAGATTTTGTAGATACTGTATTGATGGATATATTCCACAACAAGTGTTTAATTGTGAGGAGACATGGCTATTCAGGAAAAAATTGCCGAAGAGGACATACATTACCCAAGAGGAGACGTCACTGCCCGGACACAAACTAACTTGGGCTAACTTGTGTCAGGATAGGCTAACTCTTGTGCTGTGTGGCGATTTGAAAATTAAACCCTTGCTCGTGTATCATTCCGAAAATCCAAGAGTTTTAAAAAATATATAACGTGCAGAAAAACTGTGATGTAGAGTGGTTTGCCCTGCCATCAAAAAATATCTGCAAGAGAAAAGTTTGACACTAAAGGGCCTGCTTCTCGACAATGCTCCTGCTCATCCTCCAGACTTGGAGGGTGCATTGTTGGGGCCACTTTTTTTTTTTTAGGGATATTCCTGCATGGGCCCTAAGTTTCTGGCTAATGAACCAATGACATGAAGGAGGAGTTTTCAACCTACCTTGTGTTAGGTGTGCAGGGGTCAATAGGCTGAACATAATGTCAGAAGCAAAGGGGGGCGTTTGCCTCTTCAAACACAATTGTGACCATCTTCATCTCTTCGAACTATCCTAAATGCTCTCTTCACCTGTCTGACCAAAGTGGGTGTCCAGACCACCTTTGAATCTGAAATTGTAAAATTAATAGTGATTTCAGAATATTCAGTCCATTTATACTAACAAAATTATATACAGTATACTGTAATTGAAATTTTACAGAATGATAAAGGCAATTTAGTAACTTTGTTAAAATGCACATGGGGGAAATACATGAAAATAGGTTAATATTGTTTGTAAGGTTGATGGGAAATGTTTATTACTTTTATGATTTAAAAGATGTATAGCCCTGATACTCCATCCTGGGTGCATTCCACCAGGTAATGACCACAGCAAAAGTTTTCCACGAGGCTCTATTGTCACACAAACTTTTCACATTTTCAAACTTGATTCATCTTTTTCCCCCTCGTTCCAGGGGTTTTCTTTAAAAGGTCTTCATGCAAATGCCTTGGTTTCTCACAAATGATGGCCTCTGAAATGGTATCACCTGCTAACTCTTTGTTGTGTATCCAAATTAATAAAAACTTTTCAACATCCTCAAGTGTTTGTGTTCTTTGTTTCGGGATTGTTGATATGCCTTTTGCCACTTAAACGCTCATAATGTCCTTTTTCTTAGCAAGTGTAGTGCATATTGTTGACATAGATTTGTTGTACTGCCTAGCTAGTTCAACAACCTGTGCACCGTTTTGACGTTTATGAATGCTCTCTTGTTTTTCCTCTATGGTCATTCTCACATGTGTTTTCTTGGCTTGAACCTTACCACTGGCTTTCTTGGGACTCATGGCAAGATATATAATAACAAATTTTATGTTCAAATAGCCAAAAATCCCAAAACAAATGTAATGCTTTATAAAGAATTCAGGCGCGATAGTTACTAGGCAGGAGACACTGGTAAACTGAGGTGCGATCACCATTGTAAAACATCAAGTCTCTGTACTCAAAATATAAATAAGTAAGTAAATAAATCAATAATTAGACGTACCGCTTGAGTAATGACGACACCAACACGCCTCCACATGGGCTCCATCAACATCCTTCATCTGCTAACACTTGTTTCAGTTCTCGAGGGGTCGGAGCTTGTAAAGATTTATAGCGTTGGGGCCATTTAAGCTTTGTCTCGCACATGTTTAAAGGGTTAATCAAACCTTAGGATTAATAAAACGAACATTTGACTTCAGGAAAAAGGTGGTTGTTATTCAACTGTATATTCCAGTAGAACGCAACTCTAGTGAGCTCTACTTAGATTATTGTATTCAAGCATGGAGACCTCATTTTCAGAAAGACTGCTGCTCTAGAGAAAGTTCTACACTGGGCAACAAAAATTATTCCAGAATTAAGTATTCATATCAAGAATGGTTAAGGGCCACAGGGCAAAAGAGCCAAAGACTTGGACCAAAGAGCCAGAGCTCAACCCCTGCAAGCACAACTAGGTGAGTACTGCAAACCAGGCATGACAGGGCGAATCTCATCGAAACTTGTTAAATACTGAACAGTTTGGAGGATACTGATCCAAGCAACTTCTTCAAAAGGTCAGATGTAACATTAAACAAGGAGTAACGGTTTCAAGCTCAACAAGCCACAATGTAGGTCAGAAAACAGGAGATGCTTTTTCACCCATAGTTATAAAACCGTGGAACCACCTACCGCTGAGGCCATAAATGCCAAAACACAGTTGAATTGTAACATCCAGCTTGACAAAATCATCAATACAAATGTGGGGTGACCTTAGACAAGTTGCCGGCAACCTGTCCTTATCGAGGCCACTGTGAGATAGTGACAGGTAAATTCAGATAAATGTGGACTTGGCACGATCCCAGCATTCTCAATGATCCACTGATAAACTGTACCCAATATGTACACAACACCTTGAGCGTTGCAGAGTGATGGATGGTGATGGAACCCATGTGGAAGCCTGTGGGTTGCAGAACATAGACAATCAATGGTGGAGTGGTATTAGTACTGGATAGCCAGTGGGGTAACCACTAGCCACCCAGGTTCGAATCCTCAAGGAGTCAAAGAGTTCATAGTGAGCTTCATTAGAAAGTCAAATGCAACACATACAAGGAGCAACAGTTTCTAGCTCAACAAGCCACAGTGTAGGACAGAAAACAGATATTTGGAAACCCATAGGGTTATAAACTCATGGAACTGCCTACCTGCCAAAAATAAATTGAATTTCAATATCTATCTCGATAAAATCATGACAAACAGGGGAGTCTTTGACAAGCCTCCGGCTTCTTGTCCTCATCGAGGCCACTCACCCAGTGGAAGCAGGCCAGTCTTCCAGTCAGACTTGGTGGCTTTGGTGTCCCACCTTTCCTGTCTTCAATCAAACACTCCAGCTGGGATATCTGTATCATATCATAGACGAAGTAGTCACAGCTTTCCTGGAGGCAACAACAAACCCCAGTGACCATGCCCGCCTCACAGCTGTGTATTTACCTAGTTGTGCTTGGGGGGTGGAAGGTGGATCTCTGGCTGTTTGGTCCGCCTCTCAACTGTCAATCAACTGGTATACAAATTCCTGAGCCTACTGTAGGACTACTACTACTCTATCATATCTACATTTGAAACTGTATGGAGTTTGCCTTCACCACAACACTGCCTAATGCATTCCATCTGCCACTGAAAAAGTTTTTTCTAACTTCCCGGTGACTCATTTGGGCAGTTTCCACCTGTCCCATCTTGTTCACGTACAACCCATATTAAACAGTTTATCTTTATATGCCCCTGCCAATTCCTCAAAATTTTGTAGGTAGTGATCATGTCTCCCTGAGCTCTCCTGTCTTCCAGCGACGTGAGGTGCAGTCCATGCAGTCTTTCCTCATAATTCATGCCTCTTAGTTCTGGGACTAGCCTAGTGGCATACCTCTGAATTGAACTGAGCTGAAACAGTCATTTCATCATTCTACCTTGCTCTGATGAAGGCGAATTAATCTGAAAACGCGTTTAGCATTCTCTATTCTTCACATATTGTTTTTCCGCATATATACAGCATATGTGTCAGCATTTGTGTTACACATAGTATAGATACTGTGACATTAAGGGCCTGGTAGTTCAGTGGATCAGCAAGACAAACACAAGAATCCACTTTCATGGCATCTTCACTGATCAAGACTTACCAAACTACAACACATAGATTAAGCAGTTTCGTACAAAAACTACTATTACTACCAATAAGCAAGTAATTATCAAAAGAAACTACTGCATGAGCTTGGTAATCTGAATTCCAGCAATCCGAATCTTTGAGTAATCCGAATAAATTTGAGTGGAAGTTTTTGACAGATCAACTCAAATAAAAATTCAGGTTACCAAGATTTCTGGTGAACACCTGAATAAATTAAATTCTTTTTAATTTCGAACTTTCCAGATAAAAATTTGGCTAACTCAAATGGGGGTGGGGCCCCCACATAATCTGGATTATCAAGCGTAGCTAGTACTGTACTGCCAATATAGTAGTACTGTACTACTGTTTCTACCAAACTATGTAATTTAGGATTACTTAACTGATTATGTACCAAATGTACATAATCAGAAAGATATGGACACTTATTGAAACAACCATCCTTGAGAAATAATTTAATGTATAAAATTTTTTGGTTAAAAATATATAACTGGAACACATTTGAAATACTGTACATATAAATTTATATTGTACTATCTTCACTGCTGACGGACATAGAATCATCTACATCTGTTTCATCCATCATTAACCTCACTAGTACATTAAAGCGATCAAATACCTGAAAGAGAAAAAATAAATTTATAAGCTTGACATGTGCAATATGTATTCCAACACATTTGTTAAAGATTTTTTTTTTAAATACAGGAATTAGAGGAGAGGAAATAAGAGGCAAAGATAGTGGTCAGGCTTGAGGGAAAGCTTTGAGTGAAGAGTGACAAATTGCTCTCAGAGGTCAAAAGAATCCAATTGAACATGTATATTTCCAGGTCGAGTCATACACTTGCTTTAGGTCCCTGTTCTTCAACCTGAGGTCCGCAGAACAGCTCCGGTTCACTGAAATTTCCTGGTGGTCCATGAAAATTTTGGCCGAATCATGTAGCTGCTACATGATTTGGGTGCTACAGTGTTGATGTGGTGATACTCTCTCAACACAGAGGGTCAGTGTGAGAGTATCACACCACCAATGTCTTCTCCACGCAGAAGTGAGGTAGTTACCAAGAGGAAGGGTTCTTGCACACTTTTGCGAACTGAGGGAAGAAGTAAAGCAGTTAATGCGAGAGCAAAAACTGACCTAGCAGAGCCTTTATTGAATGAGGAATGCATGGCTAAGCTTTCGTATATGGCGGACACATTTAGACTTCTTAACGAATTTAATATTTCTCCTCAGGAGTTTTGTATAAATATTTTTACACTAAGAAATAAAAAGGATGCATTCCAAATGAAGCTGGCTTTTTGGGATAGACGCATATAAGAGGAAGATGTAGAAAAAGTTTCCACTTTTGGGAGAACTTTTAATTGCTGCTGATATCAACCAGAAAGGTTGATATCAGGTTGATATCAGATAGCAGGTTTTTTCATGGGTCAAGGTAAACTCCACTACATCCACATAGACCATTATAAGCATATTTGCATCATACATATAAAACCCAGACAATAATTTTTTAAATCTTCATGATGATACTGTAACCGCATTACCATTTGACTATAACTTCTGCCTAAGAGTTAAACAAGTTTCAGACACAACTGGTTAGGGCAATGGACAAAATTTTTTGGGTAAAGTACCCAGTGTATTGGGTTTCTTATTGGGGGAGGACAAGTCTATTGCGCCAGTCGTCGGGGGACGGATCAGTCTCTTATGTACATTCTAAGATATGGGAAGGGGAATGGAGGAGCATCTTTTAGTGAATAAAATCAGAGCTTATTGCCAAGGTGTGGCCAAATGACAGAAGACTGAAGATCAGAAAGACTAAAAGAAATTTTCGAAATTAAAGTTAAAAGGGTTTTATTCAAAATGGGAAATTATAGCGAAACATACATGAGGGAGGTGGGAATCTTTATTAATGGCTGAGAACAGGGATCCAAGCTTATTCACAACACTAGTTGGTAATAGCGGAATCAATAACATGAACGATAGTTGCTTCATCAGAAACAAATAAGTGTACCATAATCTTTCAAATCTTTCGAATACGGTGTTAAGTGGAAACAAAATTTCCAACTCTCCTTTTTAGCCTGACAAATAACCCTGCAGGTTAAAGCACCAGTTTTGTTTAACAATTATAAATATCTGATATCTGCAGGAGTCTGCATGTTAAAAGCAGGCAGCATGGGCAAAATCCACTCAGGAATGAATTTTTTTCAACTGCAAGAGGTATAATGAGGTGGAGGAGAGGGCAGCATCAAGCAAGATTATCTATAAGAGCATAGATCACAACAGAAAGAATTATTGTGCAGTGAATAAAAAGATTGTAAAGAATTTCCAGTCTGTTCTGTCAAATGCCATCTGTGGAAAGGGGCAGGTCATGTAAAAAAAATTGTGGGATAAGGATATGGGAAAACTGTTGCTGTTGTGGAAGTCACCAAAGACCTGTTAATCTAGCTCAAGGTAAATGGAAGATGTGCAGAAAGAAAGATCAATACAAGCATGATGTGGTAATTTAAGAGATTACAAGTCTTGTCAATATTTAAAATTGACAAGGACAACAAAAAGAAGGGTTCCAACAGATGGTGAAAGCAATGGGATCATCCCAAAGTGAATGTGCACCAGTGAAGTCATCTAAAAGTTGTAATATTTCAGGTAAAACATTTAAAGGAAACTTATAATCAACAAAATAAATTTGAAATTGTATCGTAACATATAGAAGGCAGAACTGATATACTATTTATTTAGGATTATACAAGAGAGAAAATTAAAAAAAAAAAAAAAAAAAAAGATATCTTATGCCAATTCATGATGCTCTAATGAACAATATGATTTAGTCAAATGACAAAATTTTACTATGAATTAATAAATAAGAATTTTGAATGAAATTGCTTAAAGATCATTAAAGTGGTTCAAATGTACATCAAGTATTCTCACTAACCTCATTATAGTCTCTTGAAGGAAGAGCATCAGCAATTTCTTGAAATGCAACGTCATTAACACCCTTTTGTTGTATTACAGTCAGGATCATTCGGTCTTCCTCTTTAGTCCAGCTGACAGAGTTACAAGATGAGGAGGTTGTGAGTGTAGCAGGAACACTTGATACACTCCCTGAGGATAATTTTCCCGGTGAAGAGTCCAAACTTTCTGAAAAGTTTCTATATAGCCGTTTTGCTTCTGTATTAGAGGTGCATTGGTTTACTAAAGCTTTTGCAAATGATGCTGAAGAAGAGCAGCTTGTGCTATCTGAGGATGATTTGGAATCTCTCGATAAATTACAATGTTTCAAGTATGTCCTGCATGAGTTTTTATTGCCTCCGGAATAGAGCACAGATGATGGTTCTTTATTCAGTATAAAATTTGAATTTAAATTCTGTTGAGTTTCTGTTGTTTCACACGATATTTTGATTGGTACGTGGCAAAATGTAGCCTTATGTTCGTTTTGAAGCTGAGCTTTGTCTGTTATAATCATCGCATTGGTATTGGGCTTATTACGTTCATCTATCACATTCACATGCTGATCAAGAAGTTCACCTACTGTACAAAAATGCTGAAGATTGTTTATGTTTGAGCAAGATCGCAATACAGGATTTTTGTTTACAACTTCTTTTGGAGTGGAACTGGAAAGATATGACAATTCTTTACTCCCGAAAGAATTACTAGTGCTGTCAGTGTTAACTTTTCCCTTTAAAAGCCTCATATTTGTTTGGCACAAACCTGTTCTACTGTGACTGGCCGACTTTGCATAAGTTGGGTCTGTGCACAAATTATCTTCCGTTTTCTCATAACTTCTATTAACGCAGGTTTTCTTTACATTATGATTTTTCCCCTCCAAGATGCAGTCATTTTTACAACATGTATTATCAATATTTTTGCTGCTAACTATTTCTGTAACACTGTCTACATTATCACCTCTGATTCTAACAGCGATATCTATCTTTTCACCTTGACTACAGATATCCTCCTTTGCATATCTTTCTTCACTTAAAACAACTGTTCTGCTCTTTAACGTGCTAGTATTGTTTACATGTACCGTGTTGTTTGAACTACTGTTAGATACCATTTTATTTGAATTTTCTTTGCTCCTTACATGTACATTGTCACTGGGATCCTTAGAATGAGAGCTTTTTCCCTTCCCTAAACTTTTGACCTTTGTGGATGTTTCACTGCAGTCAATTCCAGTCTGAACATTTCCTCCAGTTGCTTGACCATGGCTAGATTTTTCATCAACTTCCTCCTTTTTAACATCTTCTGCTTGATAAGTTACCTTAGCAGGGCGGAGAGTTTTACCACATTGTAGATAAATCCGACCCTCAGAAAACTGAAAAAAAATTCTAACTAGTATAAAGCACACCTGGAAATTTATTACTACCTGTGTGTGAAAAAGATGTTATCATTTTTGTTCAATAGTATACAGTATTATCATTCATTTTTATGCCAGCAATACAAATTGTAATAAGAAAGACTTTGTGGTGTTGCCACACTAATATGTAAGGCAATCAACCTTACTTTTCTCAAGTTATAAAGATGGGGCAACAGGATGGACTTCCCAGTAAAAAAATAAAAAAAAACTCACTTTTTTAATATCTACCAGGTACAGTATAACTTTTTTACTATACAGTATTACTGCTATTATCAAATTTCCTATATAATGTGCTATTATTTTCAGTAGGCTAATGTCTAATTATAAATCTTTATAAATTAAGTAAATATAAATTATAGAAAAATATAAAAGATTATCCTTTACATTTAAAATATATGTAGTAATTAATGCTTACTACAAAGAAAGATGAGAAAGAGATGGTGGAAGGTGGAAAAACAGACTAAGCAGTCACAAGAGGACTATGGCATTTCCCCGGCAGAAATATTCAAGACGGAAAAATTCCATTCTCAAAACTATGTACAGATGTGAATTAAATTCACAAGATATGTGTATACATACAATAATAGGACTTAACCATCAAACACTCATGAAAATCATAATAGTCAATTAGACTGAAACTGATGAGAGATCTGTGAATAGCATGGTACAATATAAGAATTGTCCAGAAATAAAGATGGTATTTGAAATGGTTAAAAGCAGTGAATACTAACCCTCAATGCACATGAACGACAGTGATTATGATGTCCAGAGTTTGCTGCAGTACTCTGAGCCACTACATTACTAGTGGGTGGGCTGGAGACTGAAACATGACAAGGGCACACACACTGGTTGGGAGAGGTGTGACTGTCTTCATCGTGTAGAACCAACCTTTCCATACTATCAGGAGTTCCTGGATTTTCTAATGATATATCTTCAAAATCACTTTGTAAGCTGAAAAGAATTTAAAAATCATCCATCAAGACATTGAAATGTGGAAAGGCTCTAGGTAATGATGAGCTATATGCATTCTTAATTAAATATCATTGAGAAAGTATGGGAGTGAAGTGGTGAGCAGTGTTCTGGGTGCACTCAGGCTCTTGGCTAGAGAAGACAACGATAGCATACTTGCTCAAAATTAGTTTTTATCATTTTTACTATTTTTACATCCAAGATTCATCATTTATACTTTATATTACTTGTACGTACAAACCTACGTTGAAAAATTCATTTAAATGAAGATACGCGGCTATATATTTCAATGTCATTACAGAGACCATTCGCTCAATTCTATGATTTCATTTCCAATATTGTTTTATATTAAATTTTCCAGTTTGACATTCCTTTGAACGGTCAAACAAGTAAAGGTTTAAGAATTTGTTGTGTATGTACTGCTGGATATATTTAATTCAATAAATGATACAAAAATGCCACAGTTTTAACTAAAACTCAGCAGTCTAACTTAAATCAAATTTGCCTTAACAGTTACAGTACTGTATTTCCTAACCCTGCATATCAAATGCAAAATAAGACCTAGTTACTATTTTTTCATTAATAAAGCAAAGAAATTCCAGAATGTGTAGTTATTTCAATTTTGTGTACACTAACCTTGGAGGTGGAGGCTGTGAAGGAAAACACTGAGTAAAACACTCTACTAGATGTGGATACTTGAGAAGAGGCGTCATTGCAGCTTTCACTTCTTCAATATTCAGCTTAGGATCACTATGCATGGACTGGAGTAGCCGTATAATTTTTTGAATGTACTTTGGTTGTTTGCAGAACTGTAACTGAACAGTAGATTTATATTTAAAATGAGTAAGATTGCCAGTTCTTAGCCACTTAAATAAATTACTGTAATCACTTTCCAGATGGAATACAAAATGCCTTTTAAAGAATTACCTTTACAGATAATCATGTTAGGTAAAAAGGTTTAATTTTAAAGTGACTTATCTAGTCTCTAGCTGCAGTACTTACAGGGATATTAATAATATGATGTCAGTGGCCAAAGTTTTTGTACATGCCAAGAGACTGGCCACCTCGACTCCTGCAGGTAGCCATGTAGTTTTACTGCTCATTCTAATAATTACTTCACTAACATATGTAAATATGCATATTATGGCAATAATATACTGAAGATTGTTGGCATCTATGGGAAATTAAATATATTTGTAATATTACTTTCTCCATGTCCTGCTTCCACTGGCTGCTGACAGTGGTCACTGGTCTATTACCTCAAGAGTAACACACTTTGATAAATGGTTAGGACAAATTTCCTTTCATGAAACTTCATACATCACTCAAAGTAGTATCCCAAATCTGGCTTTCTAACTCATATTATAGATACTACAGTACTTTATACATACTAATACCGTACAGTAAAATCTCTCTCAAATGGAACGATTAGTTCAAGAAACAACCGTCAGTTTTTTGTCAGTTTTTACTGGAAACATTGTTTTTAATATTGCAAAAATAGATAATACTTTTTTCAATACAGTAAGTGCTCGGTAAGTTGCAGTTCTGTAACCTAAATCTTAAGCTACAATATTTCACTTTGAACTTTTTTATTACTTTTGTTTAGTCCTTTTAACCCAAGGGGAGATTCAGGTTCCCATGATTTCTGCCAGATGAGAAACCAGAATACTGTATACAGTACAGTTTTGAATTCAAGTGTTTACTCGATAACTCAAAGCCAATTTGAGTAACTGATTTTTGCTAGACAAGAAACCTGAATAAATTTAAATTCGAGTGTTTTACTCCGCAACTCAAAGCCAACTTGGATTCCTTCAATTTTGTTGCTTGGCTACTGAATGAAATGTGGTGACCTACGTTCATAACAGATTACATTAAAACAATACATGAATATGATCTTTTTAACTTTTCCAGTAAAAAAGTTGGCTAACTCACAAATCTGGCTAACTTATATGGAGGTGGGATCCATATGATTTGGATTAACAGTATGGACAGTACAGTATTTTGATGGAGTATTGCATCAAAATCCCATTGGCAAAATTCAGAATAGTAGATTTCAAACAAAAATAAAACTACTTAGTTTGTTTACATTAATCAGTACCACAAATTCTAATTTTATAACTGAATTAGAAAAGTTTCAACACTTATAAAATAATACAAACCTCCAACTTTTCAAGAAAGTCTCTCATTCGATGAATAGCACAATACTGAGCAAATTTGCCAAGTGTCATTGCTTGTTGGGGAAGAAGGAAGGACACAAATTCTTCAGTGAGATTTGGATAATCTTTTAAAACCTGCAAAATAAAATAACAATTACGGCATAGTATTTGTGTATTAAATTGGCTCATAACTATATCGGTAAAACAACCTTCAATTGCTGGTCAAATGCTCGCTTTCTAATATGTCTTTACAATGATAATGGACATCAAATTGCACTGGCATAAAGGAATTTATTTAGTAGAATTTATTAAAGTGGTGAATACCATCTGTAATCTGGCCACCCAGGAGCTAGCTACTCTCTGCTCAGTTACTTCTTGAGCTTGTGTCCCTAGTGGTGAATTTTGGATTAGGCTTTGATGATGCGGAATGCCTTGCCTAAGTTACTCACACTCATCCTTTGTAATGCAGTGTTGTATGTCTTGAGTGCAGGTGTGTTATCTTGCAAACCAATGAGTCAACTTGAACCAAAGCACACTTGATATTATACTACCTTGCTCATTAATATCAGTGACTATCACAAAACAAGAAACTGAACATTTTCATAGTTGATGCCAGTTATTGACCATTTGGACTGTGGACACCATGTACGATATTATAGGAATGTTGTACAATAGTGCTGAAAGGCGTATCAATATCTAGGTAAGTATTGCATTTAAGTGTGATGCCATTTAAAGATGAGTATCTAACCTTTCACATTATACCATTGAACTTTTAATGAACTTAATACTGTAATGGTATTTTTTTTACTTCACTTACAATAACAGTAATACAGTAACAATACAGTAACTTTTTTAAATGGTCAAAGGATATTGACTTGACTCTGACCTTACATGAGGAGCTCGTACACCTAGTCTTATGAACTAGTGGGATGCTACTGGAGTGTGGTGGTACTTGTTTATCTGCCATGCTATAGTGTGGATGATAAAAGCAATGGACAAGTCATGTACAGTATATCTAACTATTTTCAATTTATCATTTCCCATTCTTTCCTGGGCTGATACCATCTCACGATGGAAGTGAGAAATGATACTGAATTAATTATTATCTTATATGTAGTTTTTGGTTCATAAAATTATCCCTATTTTTCATATGCTTAAATTTTTTATTTACCGTACTCATATCACACAAATATAGAAACCTACACTTGCCATCACATGTAGTTGCAGGCAGGTCATGTATAAAAACTACGTACTTTACAAAATAAGAAAACAGTTCAACGTGTTTCACTAAGGATAAATCTTTACACAGGTTACTGCTGATATCCTCTTGACTGGTGCTTGGAAGTTCAAAATATTTCACTTGCCAAATAAACAAAGCTCCTATTGACTTAAAACTCTTCACCATGGCAAAAGTTTCTAGCAAGGACATATGCTATATATGCAATTTTCTCTTCTATTTACTGACAAAAGCTCTTCTAAACATGAGAGCCAGCACTGATGAAACTGATGGTGGTTAAAACAGAAAGCAGGGTAAAGATAATGGTTACAGGGGAGCCGGTCGACCGAGCAGACAGCACACTGGACTTGTGATCCTGTGGTCCTGGGTTCGATCCCGGGCACTGGCGAGAAACAATGGGCAGAGTTTCTTTCACCCTATGCCCCTGTTACCTAGCAGTAAAATAGGTATCTGGGTGTTAGTCAGCCGTCACGGGCTGCTTCCTAGGGGTGGAGGCCTGGTCGAGGACCGGGCCGCGGGGATACTAAAGCCCCGAAATCATCTCAAGATAACCTCAAGATAATAGGTCAAGATCAGTTCTGGAGTGTGGACAACTGTGAGGTGAAGGTAGGATAAACATCTCATTAAAACATACCTCACACAGCTGAGTATAAAGTTGGATGGGACTCTTGCCTGGAGTCTCTGTGAACTCATTAAGCATACACAAGAACTCTTTGAAAGCTACAGGATCTTTCCCCATTAATGCTTCTCGAACTCGCATTAGGTAACTTTGTGCCATAACTGAAATAAAGCATATAACTTAAATCATTACATTCTTCCCCACAAATACAACCTACAGATAATAATTTTGAGGACTGCGAGGGGTCTGCAAAATAGTTAAATGAGCCCAACAACATGAAATCTCTCAGTTGACAAAAAATTAACAAAGAGCATACTTCATATACAGTATTGTAATTGCAAATGAAAATTAAAATCATCTCTTTTGCCTTCAAGATTTTGTAAGTTAAAAATCAACTTAGATACTGATTGAAAACATCAGAAATTTGATTAGACATAAATGATGTAATAAATAATGTCAACTGAAAACCAGTGTATTACAGTTTTCACACACTACGATTACTTGTCGACCTCAGTGCCTATCAGTTAAACAGTTCTAGAGCTGAAAACTTATTTTACTTTTGTCCATATTTATTATAGCATCCTTTTCCCACACATGCCAACAAGTCTTAACTAATCCACGTGTAAATACATCCATATTGTTCTCCACTAGCAGATATACACAGATTAAATTTTAAATTCACTTTTAATTCCTATTATATATTGAACAACTACAAAAAACTAGCGTTGAATGTAATGAAACACCCTTTTCTGGGTGATACCCAGAGGCTCCCCGGAGCTATCCAGACTGATATGTATATCATTAGACTTTGGCATCGTGTGAATGGAGTTCTAGGCCTACCGGGGACCACGAGCATGAACCTGGCCCCCTCAGAGAGGCACGAGGAGCAATGGCCTATAGAAGTGCACATGTGATTTGGAGCAGTCTATCTCTACCATCGACCGGGTCAGGCACCCAGAAAGGTAAGCGCTTCAAAACAAACCGCTATTCTGGTTAAAACTACTACAGAAGACTAACAAGTGGACAGAACTCCCCAAATGAAAACGATCAAATAAGCATGACGTCACACGTGCAATGCTACTTGTCTGTGCAGCTCCCCCCTTCCCGGGAGGGGGAAATGGGAACCCCCAGACCACTCACGAAGTCTATCCACACCCCCAGTTCGAGGCTGGATGTCAAAAACACGCAAAAAACGCTGATTTGGGGAAGGGAGGGTTGCCCGGGAGCCTTCGAATCGCACCTAGAAAATGGCATTTCATTACATTCAACGCTGGTTTTCTGGGGTAAGCCCCTTCGGCACCCCAGTATACAGATGGTGATAGACTCAAGCCAAAAAGATCAAACGCAAAGACTCAAGGAGAAGATCGAACCAGTCTCGTAACGGACCAGACCAATCTGCTGAAAGAGGCGAAGCTGCAGAAAAACTTCCGGGTTCGGACACCGAGCAAGCAGCGCCTGAAACCAAGACTCTGCTATAGGCCATTGCTCCTCGTGCCTCTCTGAGGGCCAGGTTCTGCCTCGTGGTCCCCAGTAGGCCTAGAACTCCATTCACCCTGACTGATGCCAAAGTCTAATAATATACATATCAGCCTGGATAGCTCCGGGGAGCCAAAGGGGCTTCCCCCACAAACACTACATAACTCTGACATATTCTTACATCAATATAAAATTTGGTAACTCATTATACCATTACCTCTAACACATGCTGGACATCCTTCATAAAGAATCTTCATAGCATTCAATAACCGACACACTCCTCATTCTATAGCCATTTTCTTTTCATTTTGGCATATGCTTACTCAGAATTCATAAATGTAAACCATACAATATTTCTTGTACACAAATTCTCTACAGTACAGTACTAGAATTGTCAATGGCAAATGAGGCATGGCACTTGAATCCCTTGAAGCACGGAACCCATCTTGCTCGTCATAAAACAATTTCTTAAGATACAATATTTTGTGTACTCTTGCCATACAAATTGCTTACTATACTTAAAACTTAAGCAATAAGAAAAGCAAATTACTTACACTTATCTTGGCTGACAGTATCTGGAACATTAGAAAGGGCAGTGATGCGTGCCTGAAGTCTTCGCTGTTGTTTTGTAAGTTTTCTCTCCCCCTGGCCCAAATCTTCAACAGAACTCAATCTTTTATCAAATCCATCACCACCACCACCACCTCTTCTTAATGTTATAGTGGATGAGGCCTTTAACAGGGCAGCCAGATGCTCTTCTCTTTGCTAAAAAATGTATTATCAAACGTTATATTTATTTTATTTAACAAATATTGATTTCTGCTGTAATCATTGAGCTTTAAAATCCTAATCAAACAAGAAATATTAATCAAGCATTCAGTAAAATATTTTTAATGACCATTGCATTCATCTTCATAATTAATGCAGTAAGTACTATCTACTCACTCATTCTCTCTATCTCATAAATTTTCATAATCATATTATATGGTGATGAAAAATGCTATCATGTTGTTTGTTAGAGAATTCATAATGTACCGGGGGTACCTAATAAGTGCTAAGTAACTACAGGTAATTTAAATCAGTTTAAATTGGCAAATAACAATTAACCAACTTGTGCAGCTTCTAAATCTTCCTCTTCCTCATCTTCCTCTTCTTCATCTTCATCTTCTTCATCCTCATCCTCCAAAGAATATTCTTCAAATTCTTCTTCACTCTGATGAACATGTGTAGATGGCCGAGATAAGTTAGAGGCGGAGCCGAGCGAGGTATTACCATCCATGAGTTCATCGTCCAGCTGAAGAAGATCCCCATCGCCTGTGACTTTGCTTCCACGAAGAAAACTCTCTGGTCTGGAAACACACAAAATATATTTTAAAAATTATTCTAATATAAAACTTCATAAACAAAGGAAATGGCTTTGTGTACAAGATGGGTGCAATTTTGATTATTCTTGCAAACAACAGACAGGTGGACACAGACAATCTTTTCCAGTTGAGCATATCAGAAGAATTTGGAAATGCAATTAGATTAAAGTACAAAAGCACACACACACAGTAAGAATGGTAAACAGGTGGAAGAAACACTGAAAGAAGTACTGGAAACCATTTTTCATCCACATCTTCAAGAATACATCTGGCAAACAAAGCCCTTGTAACTACTATTAAAGTTCATGTTTTTCTTGATGTTCCTCTACATTGATGTCAATACTTTGTGCTCTTCACTACCTACATAACGAGAATCTCAAAGTAAAAATTGCCCAAATCAAATCCAACTTACAGACAGGAAAGGGCAAAAGACCCTAGTGAACACGGTCATGACCATAACCACAGCAAGATCCGAGGGGTACACAAGTTGGTTTGTGTTCCCACGTACACTGCTGAACCAATGGAGACCTTAATTAGGGCACACTATATACCTAGATTCCCAACTAGAACAAATCTTTTTGAGGTAATATAGACTCACAAAGCAAAGCCACGTATGTGCATCATCAGCAGTGGCTCAGAAACCCATTCAGGAGCATTTAGAGACCTGTAAAGCATACTCACTAGGTACTATAGACTAGGCAAGCTTTCAGCACAGATATCAACAATTGTCCTAGTGAAAATGGAAAAAACCTGACAACTTGCATGTAACAGTCAGGAAATGTTGTATGTGAATTAACCCCAGAAGAGTGTAATAGTGACTGGTACTGCCACCTGATGGTTGGTATAGGCACCTAAGTAGGCCACCTGGTGGCTGGTCTAGGTATCCAAGTACGTCACTTGGTGGCTGGTCTAGGTATCCAAGTATGCCACCTGGTGGCTAGTCTAAATATCCAAATATGTCACCTGGTGGCTGGTCTAGGTATCCAACTACACCATCTGGTAGCTGGTCTAGGTATACAAGTACGTCAGCTGGTGGCTGGTCTAGGTATCCAAGTACGTCACCTGGTGGCTGATCTAGATATTCAAAACGTCACATGGTGGCTGGTCTAGGTATCCAAGTATGCCACCTGGTGGCTGGTCTAGGTATCCAAGTATGCCACCTGGTGGCTGGTCTAGGTATCCAAGTATGCCACCTGGTGGTGGTGGTTGATGTAGGTACCAAAGTAGGCCAAATGATAGTTATCCAAAGTGTGTCTGTAGCAATTACTTGTGATGCCAGGAAAGAGTTTGGAAGGGCATTGAATTGATGGATGAACTACTGTGCCACCAGTGTTTTCGGACTGAACTAACCAATAACACATCAATGACCCTGCAGAGACAGGTTCAAAGTTTCTAATTCTGCTGCTAGTCGTACACTTAGGGAGCAGCAGAATAAGATAGATTACACACTAGCATGTTGGGAAATACCATATTTCCAGTAAATAGGATGAATGTTTTTAGTTCTCCACCAACCGAATATATATAGAGTATTGTATTTACATGCCCAAAATCGTGTTTTCCCACACAAATCCCCTTAAAGTAACTTTCAATAAATGTATGACAATACATACTAAAATTGTTCTTGCCACAAAACATCCTTGTAAATTATATGCATCTTCTAGCCAGCAAATACTGTACATGATCATTGTTGCCAAATAATTCCATGTGCAGTACTGTCGTTAGGCAGTCCATCCTCCTGTTTTGGTAGTATTGTACTTATAGTAATTATGAGGACCATAGTAGTACACATATCGACGTACAACAGAATTAAAAAGTAGAAATCTGTACTAGTGAATTTGGACAAACCAGAAGAGGGTTTGTATTTATGTTGCCAAGACAACCTAACCTAACCTTCCTAGGCCTAATACATGCTATCTGAGGCCTAATATAATATGAATGTGTGTGCTATACTAGGCCCTAGGCATATTTAAGCTTGTTTTTTATCTTCATTTTTTTGGACTTTATAAAGTGAATAGTACCAAATTCTACCAATTAATTGCTTAGTACACCAATGTTTGTACTATGGTGCACATAGTTACAAAAACAACTATCTAAATAGAAGGATGAGTTGAGTATTGAATACACACTTCAGAAATGCTGGATGATAGCAACTTTAACCTTAAGTGTCTCAGTTAGGACCTGTGGCATCTTAGTATCTTTTGTGTAAGGCTATTAAAATTGTATTTTTGCACAGTTGTTCTTTGATCGAGCTGCAAGGAAATTATATAGACACAAATGCCAAGACAAACTACATGTAATGGGTTACCCTGTAGCTCTTCTAGGATGTCTTCCTCTGATGCTATCATGGACAATTGAAGCTTTGGAAACTTTGGGTGCCAATCTTCTCTTCTCAGTGTTTGACTTATCCTGCAATATAAATAAATAAATAAATAAATAAATAAATAAATATATATATGTATGTATGTATATGTTATATATATACATACCAACGGACCAAAGAGCCAGAGCTCAACCCCCGCAAGCACAACTAAGCGAGTATACAGGGATTCATAAAAATGAACATATTATAACAAATCTTTATAACAGTCTTGATATACTGTATATAATAATGCAGCCATAAAATGGTATTTAATAATGTAGCCTGGATATATATAACAGCATAACAGTGCACATCAGACGTAGGTTCGAATCCTTGTCACGGCCCTTGTGGATTTGAGCATAACAGTGTAGCCTGGATATATATAACAGCATAACAATGTAGCCTTAATATATACATCATTATGGCCATTAATAATCAGTAAGTGATCACAGTAAGTAATACATTGCATTGTTTAGGCAATATTTAGGGTAATTTATATGAAATCCAACAGTTATCTAAAAACCCACAAAATAATGTCAACTCACCGATATTTTAGGAAGAATTGGAGAAAGCTTTTTGTTTGACATTAGGCGTCTCTTCTTTTTGGAATATTTGTGATATTTACGTAAAATGGGTGAAACCTGCTTTAGAGGCGAGGTTTTAATTGGTGACCTAAAATTTTTTGCAGGTGAAATCTTTCTATAAGATGCCTTTGTTTTTTGTGGAGAGATGTGAATTAAATTCAGTGGACTGACTTCATCTACCCCAGCGGAGAATATTGGGCTTTGGTAAACTGATGTTACAAGAGTTATACTGCTGCTCTGGGTGGAAGCTTGGTCCTGGGATAGTGTAGATACCCTTTCTTGTGTCCCAATTTGATCTTGTAATGCAGTGTTTTGGATGACTAAATTACATTTTCCAGGGAAGGAAGTTTTACCATCATCTTTAAGATTATCTTTTTCATTGTACTTTGTTCTTTTATTTCCCTCTCTTAGGGGCACTAGAATACTTGACTCAAGTGAGCCTCTGGTGTCACACGGTGATGCAGATGATGTATGGGAGGCTGCAGGTGCAGAGTTATTTCCATTATCATAAGAAAGATTTGTTAACTCCACTTCACTTTTTCCAAGAATGGAGGAAAGATCCGTTTGTTTAATTTCTCGTATTACCTTTACAGGTGTGGTGAGAGATTGACTTGGTGAAGTTGAGATAACTGGAGTATGGAGTGATGAGACAAAACCATCATTTTCATCTGACTTACCTGGAGTAGTTAGAAAGGAAGGCATATCATATGAAGATGGGGTATCAGGTGGTGTACTATAGTGTGCTCTTGGTGGGGTTCTAGCAACACTCTCCAAACCTCCACTTTCTATCCTCTCCACTGATGATGAACATGAAGGTTTGTAATTTTTCTTCCTAATTTCACCAAAAGTTTCACTTTCTTTTGGTCTTTCATTTAAATCTGGTAAAGATTCATTGTCACTTGTTATACCACTATCAAGGTCATCTCCAGGTTTCTGACTAACATCTTCCTCTTTGTCTACATTAAATGCTTTATCATAAACACGATTCTCACCATCCTCTGATATACACTGTGTGATATCATGGTTCTTATCGTTCAATTCAACATTTGATTTTAATGGTTTACTTTCCAATTCTGAAGTCTTCATAGGCGAGGGAGGGCTTGCTTCTCCAATATTCTTTCTGTTGCATTCTTCATCTTGCACACTATCCACAAACACTACACTTGATTCTTGATCATTATATGACACTACAGTCGATTCAGAGTTAGAAGGCACTAAATTAGTAGAGTCATTTTCAGTATTGTCCTTGAGTGTCCTGACAGAGGACTGATCACCAATACCATTTGGTTTACAACTATCACCTGGAGTAGACTGATTGCTATGGCTAGGATAACCACGCTGCTTTAGACTATCAGCCTGTGCCTTGCACTTTGATGATGGCAAATTTGGCATCCTTACAACTTGTATTTGTGAGAGATTAACAGATGGAGAGTCATGAATAACACTTGAATCAACAATGCAGCTGTAGGCGGTGAATGGCTGTGCTGTAGCTGCTGACTCTGGCATTTGCTGACCTCCACCACCACCACCACTACCACCAGACTGAATTATCAAAATGTTTTGGATCTGTAAAACAAGACAATATCTTATCATGAGTTGTAATAAAAATCAATGCTTACAATTGACTAAGTATTCTCCATCACTGCCCCAATACTTAAAATATTCGGAACCCTTTTGCTAACTCTCATATACAAAATACTGATTTATGTATTTTAATTGATATGAAGATTAAAGTTATATATATGAATATTAGTTTAACTGGTAAGGATCACAGTCCTAAACTGTTTACCCCTGTTCATCCAGCAGTAACTGAGGACCTGGTTTTTAAAGCGCCTTTAGGCGCTCAGAGAGTTGTGCTTTTTGTTTTTAATTTGGCTATATTTTAATGTTTTTTAATGTTTTGATTACTATTTGTGTTTTGAAATGGAAATATGGGGAAACATTTTGACATTAAAACCTGAACCATCAAAAAATGTCCTTGACAATTGCACCAAGACGTTTTTGCCGATGAGCTAGGGTTAAAACCCATCAAAAAATTGATCTAGGGAAAACTAGTAAAGTTTAATATCATATATGGAAAGCAAGAGCTATAAGCCTGTTCCGATAAGACAGAAGTCATCAACTCTTGTACCCACTTGTGTAAAAAAACACTGCTTAGATTTAATGTTTCTAATAGGATTACTAGTTAGGCTCAAATCATTCTGATGCACAATAACAATTTACTTTATATGGGAATTATTTAACTTCTGGTGTGATACTCATTTCAAAACACCAATAGCTAAAAAAGCCAGCAATGCAAAAGAATAAATTTTAGATCAATAACTAGTTATTATATATGTTGAGTTATATGGAAGTTTGCTCCCTTAACAGCACCAACATAATATATGACACGTCTCATCTCAGCTTTCTACTGCCAACTGAGAAAGGGTAAATAAAGTCTGAAAAAGAGGATTCCCTTATGCTATTAAAGAAATTAACTAAAAATACACACACACACACATTAATTAATATATATATATTGTACTGTACACGGAATAATCTCATACCGATTTTGGTAAAGTTGTAGCACCACGAAACTTTGCTTCTCTTTCTTCTCTCTCTAGTGCCATTGCCGCTTTCAGAGATACTTCTTGAATCATACGTTTTAGAGCAGCATTACGTTTTTGTAACATCTTTCGGTATGGTTCTTTCAAGGATGCCTCTGGAAAGTTCTGAACAGGACAAGGAACACAAGGCAGTGATGATTCTATTTCTGCTGGTGGTAGATCCAAGTGACCAGTTTCAAGATATTTCTGTTACAAAATACAGTAGAGAATAACTTTATTAATAAAAACAATAAAATACCCAAACCAACAACCATAATTTTTCTATCTACTGTTTAACAACATGAAAATAAAGGAATCTATAGAAGGCCAATTGGCCCAAGTGAGGCAGCTTGTATTTATAATCAATTCCACTAATTTATTTGTCTACTTGGTATCTCAGTTGGAACTGATATTGTGAGACCCTCCCTACTTCCTTGCCCATCTATTATACTACCCGACAACATGTTCCATAAATTAATCAAACATTTTTAAACCAAAATTTATTCAAGTATTTTCTGACTTAAACTTCTCCAAAGTATAACCATTATTTCACGTTCTATTGTGAATTGATTTATTCAGCCCCCAATTAATTTTGTTTAATCCTAAACAAATGTTTAGGACAGTAATAAATAAATTGTCATTGACATTGCCAATTGTCATTGTCATAACACTGTCCTTATTCTGCATCTGCAAAATTTGTTTTTTCCTATCTAGTAATTTTGTTTCAAATGTAATAAAATTGTATTCTGAAAGCTATATTGTTTAACCTTTTTCCTATTAAGAAGTTGGATTTGTTATAAGTCAAGAACACAGCCAGCTGCAAACTGTAAACAAATGATAAAGGTATAGTATATGAGTCAGCTCTGATCATATGATTAATCTTATAACTGGATAATAAAATATGAAAATAACCTAACATATAATGGGATACAGTAAGTAAAACAACATTTGTACAAGACATTTAACTTGTAAAGTCAAATAAATAATATTAACTATGCCAAAATATGTAGTGTCTTTATTTGCAAATTTACCTCAAGATCTAAAATGAGTCACAGGTACCACTACATGAGTTGGCACTCCACCCCAGCCCAGTCTCAGTTGCCAGGTTAAGCCAATATTCATTTCCTCCCTATTAAGGATGTTACAGAGAAAATTAGCTTTCAGATGTACACACTGTATAGATATAAATAAAACTACAGGCATGATGTGAAAGAACAAATATGCTTAGACATGATGACAGTTGCAGATGATGAATCACAATAACGTGGCTGTCGATGTGTTGACCAAACCGCACACTAGAAGATGAAGAGAGAATGACTTTTTGGTCAGTCCTGGACAATTATCAAGTCGATTGTGACGACGAAACGTCGTCGTCATCTTCATCTTTTAGAGTGTGGTTTTGTCAACATGATGACAGTTATCATTGTAACAATAAAGATGACAGGACCAATACTTACCAATACAGGATTATTAGGAGCAACATTTGCACGACATCGAATATTCTTAATCCTATTTGTAGCTTGGCTCAAGGTTTTACCCACTAAAATATTTTCCACTGTCATTGAAAGAGCCTGCAAAAGTTGATGGGGTTGGCTTTTTCTACACTTTTCTTGGTGATATTTGGGGTCCAAATAACGTTCCAAACCTAATGCAATTAACCTGAAAGATTAAAACCAATCTTTACACTATTTCTAAAAGAATAGTCAGACTGAAAAAAACTATTTAAGCCATATACAAAACATTCTACGTGACATCTAAATTGGATATACAACAAATTATGTGTGTTATCCAAAAATCAGTAACAAATACAAACATATTTTCTTATACCACAGTATAGCAACGATACAACTGAAAACTGTACATAAATATGAGCCTTACCTGAGGAATATTCAGAACAAAATAAATCATGGGATCATTAAAATAGATCATTAAATCACCAATTTAATCCACAGTTAGCAGTAGATATAAGACTTGTAGGAAACCGAATAATTACTTGAAAGTACAGTACTCACATATCTTCAGATTTGACAAAAACTGCTTTCTTAAATCCACGAGTGTTTTGGAGCTTGAACATACGAATCGGGAGCAAGCGAGGATATGGAAAAGCTGATGATTCCAATATTGCTTCAATTACTATTGGATTCAAATCTGCTGTACAACTCTCTCTGTAATAAAAGTTGAGTAAATGGTTACTTGGCATTATAGATTATACAGCCAATCATTCAATAACAAAAAACAAAAACAAATGTGTACGACAGTAATAAATAAATAATTTATACTGTATACTTTATTTTCCCTGCTCAAATTTAGTGTATCCCTTCAATTTTCCACAGAACTGATTTCTTGGACTATTTCACTATTTTTCACTATTGACACCTAGTTTCTTGTGGCAGGTATATACTGAAATAAAACTTTGAGAGGTTTTTATGCAATTTTTCACATATATTTTTTCCACATCTACAGGGGACCTGACGGCCGAGTGGACAGCGCTCAAGGTTCGTAGGTCTGGGTTCGATCCCCGGCGGAGGCAGAAACAAATGGGCAGAGTTTCTTTTACCCTGATGCCCCTGTTCACCTAACAGTAAATAGGTATCTAGTAGTTAGACAACTGCTACGGGCTGCTTTCTGGGAATGTATGTATGTGTGTGTGAAAATTAGGATTAAGGACCTGCCTGAAATGCAATGCATGCTAGCGGATGTTCAAGAATGTAAGAACTCTTGTATATATCAATAAAATAAAAACAAAAAAGTCACATTTCATTACATATAAAATTTTGTGATCTTCCATATGCATTCTCAACTTTACTCCTTACAAAACATTTGTTCTCCTTCCATCACTGTAGCCTCTTTCCTCCTCCTTTCCTTGAGCTTTCCTTATAATCATTTTACCCATCAATTAGTTCAAGCTATCATAAAACATTTCTTATCCATGCCCAATACATGTGACAGTCTTCATCACAAATCATCTGTATGATTCCCTCTTTGTTATCCCTTGCAACCAAATAATGACAAACATTCACACTTCCAAATTGATTTCTTCCATTTCATATCTACATTTTTACTCATGTAAAATTTTATAATTTCTTTTGCAGTATTCTATTCAATAATTTGTTCTTATTTATTTTGCATTACAGTATTTGCAAAACAGTTACCCAATGATATAGACAGCCTGAATTCATCTACAACTACTGTATATCAATGTGATCATCTAAACATGAGTCATACATATCAAAATTAAAATATTTTTAAGGAACATACAGCTAAAATAATGAGGTAACTAGATGCCTCATATAAGACCTTCATTATCTGTCATTTCTTGAATATGATCATAAAAAAAAGTAAGTGCATAGAACATACGGTTGTACGTCACTGATAGGATTATCTGCTGTCTTCATCTGTATGTTCTTTAGGGTTTCTAGGGCTGGCTCTAGGTTAAATGGACGAAAGAAGGATTCCTTGAATTCACTCTCCTCTGCATTCTTCTTTAGATCTTCCTATAATATAATAAAGGAACAATAACATGTCTTGGAAAATATATAGACTGCTCTTCTGAAATAACATCTTGAACTTATAAGGTTATTAAAATACTTTTTGTGGAAGAATTACCATTTTCTGACTGGGAAATTTCCAGCAAATTTCAAAATAAAATTGGCACTAATCATGATAAGTATGAAAGGAATAGACAGAGTAAAGATTCAATTTGAAATTTTCAATAACAATTCAACCCATGTTGAAATCAACCAAGCCACCAAGAAACCCAAATCTCCTAGTTTACATTTTTATCTCTTAATAGTTGGACCAGTTCAAAGGGTTGGAGGGAAGGCTCAGATTATATCTACATACTTTTCTAGCTAGGAAGGGAAGTTTACATACAGTCTCCTTTCAATAAGGGTCATCTTAGTACAGTTGGCTTTGTTCTCGATTCATAATCGGGGATCCCGGGTTCAATTCTTGGGAGGGACAGAAATGGTTGGGCACGTTTCCTTTCACCTAGCAGTAAATAGCTAACTGGGAGTAAGGCCACAGTTGTGGGGTTGCTTGTAGGAATAGATCAGTACTTCGACCTTGGGGGGATCGTGTTACAGGCATAAGGTATATACATACATAAATATACATAGGCTTCCTGTCCCCGTACATGTGTTTCCTGTCCCCGTATATGTGTTTTCTATCCCCAACAAAATGAATTAATATGACTTGTACAGATTTGCACACATGACCTGTTATATCCATCATGGTTAGAAAATGTGGCATGGAAATCCATACCGAACAGTAACCCAAGCTTAACAGTTCTTACGAGATTCAATCCTATTATGCTTGTTTATTGTGATGCCATTGTGGGAGGGATATAGTTAATTAATGAGTGATGTATTTTGTGTATTCCGTACATAAAACCTTGTTTTATTATACTGTTCCTTTCTCCCTGGGCTGATACCTCTTTTTTTCCATGGAAATTGAAGCTGGGATGATGATGATAATGAGGAATACTGATGATAATATACAACTATAAATAAACTATGTTCTGGAGAGTTTCGATGACTACACAAATTATCAGAAATTAACTGTTGTACTCATTCAACAAACATTCACATTCTCACATTTTCTAGCTTTGCTCCTATTCATCCAATATAATATAATTCAAATACATGGAACTAACCAGGAGCTCTAGGCAACCATTAGCCACATAGGTCAGAGGTGAGGTGCCATAACACAGTAGTGATGACGTAGCCAGGAGTTGAACATGCTGAATCATTTGACACTGAAGAATTTGTAGTTGGGCCTTGGTAAATTCTGCTGTGAGAACATCCACCCAGATGGCTCCAGAAGATGCATCATCCTGAAACATGTGTGATTTCTAATACAGGAAGCCCTTCAATTCCATGGGGAAAACTTTAATAGAAAACTGACTCAAGCCTAATTTTATGCTATATAAAAATCTAAGAATATGTTTCAGACACACTTGAGAAACTTTTTCCCCACAGTTTAAGCATTAAAATACCTTATAAATTAATATTTAATACTTCCTTCACTTTTCAGACAAATTCACCACAAAATTAATGTGAATCAGACCTAATAAATTAAATATACTTGTGTAATACAGAAGTATGCAAGGATGCAGAGCAATTAAGAACAAAGGCATGGAGAAACTACAAGAATAACAACACAAGAGAGTAGAGGCAGATACCAGAGGGTCAGGAATAAGTTCTTCAGTGTGAGAAGAGAAGCAGAGAATGAAATGACATAGCAATTAAAGCACAGACCCATCCCAAACTGCTTCACACCCACATCAGGAGGGGAAACAAGAGTAAAAGAATAGGTAATAAATCTGAGGATAGGGGCAGACAGGTTCACTGAGAATGACAAGAGGGGTGTGGAAGGAACTCAACAAATATTCTAGCAGGTCTTCACAATAGAGCAAGAAGTTCCTGAAGTAAGAGAGGGCATTAAATCAGGCATCACTGGAGAACTTTGAAATTACCAATGGTATGGTAAGGAAGCATTTGCTGGAACTGGACAAAGGCTGTTGGTCCAGTTGGAAACTTACCATTGATACTAAAAGAGGGAACAGAAGAACTATGCTTCTCACTCTCCATGGTATATAAGAAGTCACTGGTAACAGGAGAACTACCATAAAGTTGGAAGACAGCTAATGTAGTCCCTATATACAAGGAGTGAGACAGATAGGAAACATTAAACTATTGGTCAGAATTCCTAACTTGTATGGATGTATGGAGAAGATTGCGAGAAAAAAAAAATAGAATAACATCAACACAGGTTCAGGAAAGGTAAATCTTGCCTCACAGGTTTAAAATAATTCTATGACCAAGGGGGAAAAAATTAGACAAGAATGAGAGTGATGGGCATACTGCATATTTTTGGATTGACAAAGTGTTTCACTTAAGTGACCCATAAGAGACTACTACTTAAGTTGAAGAAACAGGCAAGAGTAACAAAGAAGGTGCTCCACTGGATAAGGGAGTACCCAAGCAATATCAGGATGATGGAAAGGAAAACCGACTTTAAATCCATAGAAGACATCTCCGCGAGTACATCGGCAGTCGGGAATAGAGGTTACGCGATCAGGAGGTCAAGTAGGACAAGAGAACTGAATGATGGGTAGCAACCATATTAGCCGCCGAGATGTAAGTCTCGTCCTAACCATGTACTCACACCCTGATAAAGCACTCAAGAGATTGTGAAAGATTGGTGTAAATCTTTACATAAAATACACAAATACCAGTACATAAGAATGTGTTTTTATAATAAACCACTTGTTTCATTCTATGTATGCACATTCTAAGGATGTACATCACCTACCTTATTCTCATCTGGTTGACATGCCTGAGATGTTTTAAACTGAGACTTTTTGGCTTCCTTCTGGCTGTTATTTTGAGAAAGGTGCACTCGAAGAGCATCTGTGCCTTCACTTTTGCCAAGTGTGTCAAAAAGCTCGATCATGAGCTCATTAATTTCCTTCTTTGAAATCTGAACAGCTCTATCTCCTCTCATTTCCTCTTTCAAATCCAACGCATCCTCCTTATCTTCCAATATGTTGTACTCCGGGTCAGCTTCCTCATCCTCACCAGCTTCTGGGTTCTCTGTCATAACAAAAATGTAATAATAAATTAATTAAACTTATATTAATTATTAAGCTCAATACCAGCAAATGCCTGATGAGCAGGAAAGTCTAATGTGGAGAACAAAATGCCTCACATGAATAATAGAAAGACTTAACATATAAAACAAAAGGTGTCAAGTCCACAACTACAGTACGTGGAATATACGTGAAGTATATTACGTGAAGTGCAAGTAGACTACTTTGCAAAATCATATTGAATATAAACATTTCATACTTAGTGGATGAATGAAGTCAATGAGGAATGTCTTCCAATCATCATTATCAACTTCAGTTTCATACATGTCATTTGTGACATCAGGGGGTTTAAATGCCATTTCTAAACACTCTAGTGGAGTTTCTGTCAATGGCAACTTGGATCTTGTTCTCTGGCTTACAACTTCCTGAAAAGTGAATATTATAATTTACAATATTATCACATACTATCATCATCTGGCACCAATGACATTGTTAATATATTAGAAAAATTTATTAATCAATTACAATTATTAAAAGTTTTTATCTTGGCCCTAGAACTAGAACATCATTCAGTGCTGCATCTCCATTTTTTACTAAAAAATATTTTTAACACAAAAGCACTAGATTAATTAATATCATTTAATACATATCTCCTGTGCATTCACAATAATGGATAAGAACTATTTATGTTGCACTGGCCATGTTGGATTTTTTTTTACTCGTATTCCCATCATGAAAGTAATGCAATATCTAATCTCTCAAAGAGCACACTTACATTTATGAGCCATTCTACTTGGATGCACTTTATTTCAAGATGTGTTCTGGTTACCTTGTAACCGAGTCAGGAGAGACATGGCTCTGCACTAGCTCAGCTGGAATTCCTGGTTTCCCTGAATGCAGATATTTTCCTTGTGAAAGTTAGACTGTGATTAAGCTCAAGGTACAGGGAAGGACTGGGTGTTTATGTGGGTGTTGCCATCTGGTGTCAGCCAGAGAAAAAAACAGAAGAGCTAACTAGTACTGTATTAGTGAGATGCTACTTGGTGGTCTTTGTGATTCCTATCAGGGCTTCAAAAGAATGTTTTCATGTCAAATGACATTTTCTTCCATACCTTCCCTAACACTAGGATGACCCAACAACATTTGAAAGGATCGCTGTTGTGAAGGAGCAGAATGTCACCCTGTTCATACTCTTATGATCTACTTTGAATGTAACCAGAACCCATCTTCTTAAAGAAGCATTCAAGTAACTTGGTTAAAAAGAGACTTTTCATATTCACACAATACTTGAATTTTATGTAAATTTTTAGAAAATAAAAAAAAAATTCAAATACAAAGTAAAATGAATGTAGCACAACTTATTATATTCATTTAATTTTTATTTAACACCTTGTTGGGTAAAAAGTTAGATATATTACTAATACACAGCTCCTTTAAATATGAAAACCATACTAAAATGGTAACAAACCTCTTTACTTTTCACAGTATCAAAATCAAGGATCCTCTGAACGTTTTTCTTTTGCACACTCGGCGTCTTTAAGACCATTAATCGCTGATTTCTTGGTGTGCTCATTCTGATAGAAAACATAAGAGATAAGTAACAAGAAAATTCATATTATAAGTCATATTTAGAAGAACTGACATTTTTGGCATAAACTTAATAGTTTCTTGATGAAATGCAGCACATTAAATACCTTACCAATAAAAGTTTCCATAAAATATATTCATCACACAAATTATGAAAATATGACAATACTCAGTACTGTGCTACTAGTCATTTGAAAAATACAATAATATGCACTGGTGACTTCATCATGATTACTCAACATATAATTAATACATGCTGTAGCAACATATATACATGCTGTAGCAACATATATACATGCTGTAGCAACATATATACATGCTGTAGCAACATATATACATGCTGTAACAACACCAGAGATGAAACTTAGAACAGGCAAGTGAAAAGTGTGGCTGACTTTATTACAACTACTCAGAAATAAAATGGACAAAGGGCATTAGCATAAGCCAACGCTCTTTTACTAGACGAGTTAAATGAGTTTGGGCTCATCTATAATTAGGGAAGATGATCTGGTTATCTAAAACAACAGGAAGTAGGCTGAGAAAACAGTCTGAAAAAATACAGTCTACACACTTTTTCCTTCATGCTTAATCTGTGCCACCTAGTCATAGCTATTAAACCTGTGAGGCAAGATTATGACATATAATTGTATTTTTTGTCAATATTATTTTATATTTATGTTTGATTAAAAGCTTTTAAGCACTGTAAAATAGTTTAAGTGAATCACAGATACTGTTTACACAGCCTCGTCCCAATGCTTGATCTCCGCCATGGCTTGGATGATAAATCCTAACTTAATTGAAGATGTGTTTGTTCCACTGAACAATTTGCACTGAACACAATCTGTCTGGACATCCAGGAATTCTTTAGAGCTTGGCTCATTAGAGCGAGTTTCCCCTGCAAATATTACATGGTTTGGTCTGACATGTGGTCTCGTGGAAAAGTTGCCTGTTCAAAACCAAAAGTTTACAGTAAATAATAAAAACAGATGAAGCAAAACTGTAGAACTTTATCTGCAAAACTTGCAGTAACAAACCAATGATGACTCAATATACTGTATTCACCTGGAAGAGTGTGGTGTATTGAGAGAATTAAAAGAACCTGGAGTTGTATGCACATAAGAGGAAGGCGTGCATGGAGTCATTGGTGACCCAGTCTCACTACCAACACCAGTGGATACCAAACTCTCATCATCACTGAAGAACTGAAAGGAAAACACAACAATGTAAACAGTTACACAAGGAAATAACAAGAGCACGATGTATCAATGAGAAAATCACTGAAGCATAGTGGCGACTGAGTCAGCATCCTGACACTCGCCAGAATGCTGGCTCAATTCCCAACTCTGCTGCAGCGATTTTCTCAAGGTAAACTTTCTTATATTATATTAAAATTATCTTCAGATCTTTCTTTTGTATATACAGGTATATTATTACTCGACCTATTTCTTGTTACCCATTACTGAATTAGTAAGAGATAAGAGAGATGTACAGGTCTCAGAGTTCTGTCTTCCTTGTATGTGTCGTAAAACACACTAATTTGTGAATGTTCCATTGACTTTAGCATTCACAAACTTCTCTTGGAATTTATTCTAACCTCCGCCACCCAATCCCCTCTACAGTACTGTATTAGAAAAAAAAAAAAAAAAATTGCCTCTTTTTTTTTTTCATCTTGTGGAGAATACAACCATGACCCATGACTCCCAGTTCTACTTATTTCTGGTTTCAAAAACTCTACTTTTAAGTTATTTTTTCTCTCGCAAATTTGTTTATGCTTATTGTATTGCCTTTCTTGCTTTTGTCTTCCAGTGTGAACATGCCCAGAGCATGAACATGCTTTAATCTTTCCTCATAATTTATTCATTGTATTGCTGTGGATTTCTTCAGTTTTGTTAATATATTTCCACATGTGAATGCACCAAACCACAGTTAATAAATCAGTTTCAGTGTCAAATATGTTGAATATAATTTATTTAACCTTTTGGTTGCTGAATTAACAAAAATATAGGCTTTGAGAACACGAGCACTACATTACTAATCAGACTTACTTGGTTGCTCCATAACCCTTAACAAGTGGCTATCATCAAAACTGTTACCTCACATGTGCTCAAAAACAGTTCTCACATTAATGAACATTGTTATTTTTTCATTTTACTTCGTTCATCACGAGATAGATAGGATAAACTTGTTTGATTGGGTTAGGTATGGTAATTTGGTGTACTTTTTCAAACAAGTGCTGACTACTGCCAAGACAACCCAGTTAATTAGAAGCATCAGTGTGTACATGACATTAAAATAATGAAAACTACAAAAGGCCTACTGGCCCATGTAAGGTAGTATATATTCGTATACCTGTCTAACCTACTCTTGAAACAATGAAACTATCCCGTGTCTATTACATTACCAGGTAATTTGTTCTGTGAAATAATCACCCATTTCCAAGCTAGTATTTACCCAGGTTTCTACTGAATCTAAACTTATCCAATATTTCATAATCTATTTGTATTTATATATATAACACCGTATTAATATACCATTTGTTATACTCTTCCTTCTACTGTGTGTGTATACTTCTAGCATATTACTCTTAACTCTTTGCCTTTCTGGAGAATATAATTTAACTTTTCTCTATATCTTTTCATATGGGAGATTTTTAATTCCTGGGATTAACATTGTCATCCTTATCTGTACTCATTCAAATGAATTGTGTTAATTTTTATAGTTGTCTTATTGCTACCACTTCTAGAAATAAAGTCCAACATCCTGTTTGCCTGAAAACATTTTAATTTATATCATACAGTACTATATAGTAATTTACCAGCTTCAAGAGTAAATTTATTTGTCCAATGGCCAGTTAAAAAATCCAAGACTTACTTACATGTTCATCAACATCTGGTCGGTATTCCTCATCTTCATCCTCTTCTGGAAAATCCGTTGTGGCTAGTGCCTGAGTCTCAGGGTTAAGGGAGGTGCTCCCACCGGCACTGCTGTTTGAGAGTCCTGCCCATATGTTTCCACTTCCAACTCCTGCTGCTTGCTGCTCCATCAGTTCTCTGCCAAGGTCAAAGGCATACTAGTACTTAACTGCTAACACAGTTAAATGAATTTTCTACATTAAAATTTAGTTTTACTTTTCTACATTAAATATAGTTTAAATTTTGAAATCTGTCATAGGGGTAGGCTAGAGCTACGAGACGACTGTTACGGTTGTACTTCTTGTTGCCATAGCAAGACATCTCCTTGGTATGGCGCTAAACATCTCATTTTCCTTCCTAGCTAGATGGCAAGATCATTTGAAAAGCTGTTACTCTCTCCCTATCTTTAGGCAGGAAGGAGGACTTGACAGTGATGGATGATGTTAATCTTTACAATAATCTTTTCTAATGTGAACCACACATTTGATTTGATTTATGAAGACACTACACATTGAGATTGAGTTTTTTGTAATAATTTAAGAGGGAAGACCAACATACAGTAACCTACATTCATATAAGTACAATGAACAACTACAATATATTTTACAGTATTATGACAAAGTATCGTAAAACATTATGGGAAGAGACAACATTCTCCTAATCAACTACACTTCCACTCCACAAACACAAAGTACACACAGTCCACATTCATATCTGTACTAACATATTCAACATTACTTACACTAAGATTTTTTTAACACTCAAGTTACATGTATATAGCATTACAATGAATCAACACTGTGAGGGTGACATTAAACAGGGTATGAATGTGTCTGATACTTATGTAAAGCAATTGCCACATGTTTCATTAAGGAATAGAACAAAAAATAATTGCAATAACTGATAAATTAAATTGTATAGAATGACTATATAGCAAATGGCATCTTACATATAGCGTACAGGTCTCTCTATGAGTACTTGTGCAGAACTAAAATCACTCCAGAAAGAACCACAAATCATGTAAGCAAGTATATTGATGACCTTATAATATCCAAGCTCCAAATGATTTAACTAGTGATACTGTTCATTTACTGTGCAAAATGTGTACTTCTACCTACAGACAACACAATACAGTATATTAGTTATGAAGAAATATATAAATGACTAAATTATCACCTCAATGTTACTACTGTACCAAATTATCTGGAAAATAAAGTTAGTGCTCCCTCGAAAATCTGGACAACAATATAATGAATACGACTAAACACTGGGTCAAATTCACTTGCCATATCTCCCTGGAAATTTTGGGTTTGTCAATAAATCATACCTTCTTAGTCATTTATTTGAATTAGTTCCCAAGATATTCCATAGAAAATCTTGAGATAAAGAGTGTTTTGAACATGTTTTAAACATTTTGATATGAATAACAATTCTTTTAATAATGTTCCCATGACATTTCTAGATAATTGCAACATTAACACAAATAATTTGTGCAATGGGTACCTATTATGCATAATTACAACAATTTTATGGTTCATTTTCATTTTAAGTTTTACATTAAAACATCCATTACATATGGAAATTTTGTGATAAATATTCAAATACTGTACTACAATGTAACTTTTTCGAAATCTGAATTTCAAATCAACACAAATCGGGTCCGGAATAATTTGAGCTGATTTTAGAGGGAGCACTATATATATATTTACATACAAAATATGTCTAACAATTCTTAGTGTTTCTATAGGGAAAACCAAGAGCTAATGATTTATTATCTATCTATTAACTCAAATGTCAGTAAGACCGTATTACTTTGTTTTGGCTCTTGTTAGTGTCTGCTCATATACTGCAGATGTTTCCGCGCCTTTACCGTGAATGCCCAATATTGTGTTACGAACCATAGCTAATACATTCTCATCGGTCATCACATTCTGCAAAAATACAAATCATTAACAACATACAAATGGTTTCTGAAAACTAAATTTACTCATATAAGAACTGAACAGAGCATTAGTGATATATTAGTTTCAGTATACTAAACTGTTACTGTCATAAAATATAAATAACCTAACAATACAGTATATTGTACTTTGAGGAAAATAAATATTCATACACTAACTCTGAATTTAAACATTTTTATTCACAAAAATTTTTATTTACTTTTTTGTTATCTTTAAGATATGAAAATTAATCAAACGTGACAAAACCATAATACCTTTATGATATTTTTTACATGGATAGCAGTAAGGTGTGTCCGTTCTGCTTTTTCTTCAAGGACTTCATCAATACCGGACTGTATTAACTCTATAACTTCTTGTGGAACATCTCCCTCCACACCACGTCTGGAAAAAACAAACATTAGGGTATTGAAAATCTTTAAACTACTGTCTGAGCAGTCCCTGCTTTGTTTTCTGAATATAGTATTGTACCCACATAGTTGACCCAGACCACAGAACATGCCAAGATCTGTCAACCTGCTCTCTCATTGTTACATCTTTGTTAATGGTACTGCAATGTAAACTAAGGAGGGAAGATAATGGAGAATTCTCTATCCACCCCCAAAAGACCAGCTCACTCTCATACCTTTTCTTCCTCTGGTTGGTCTTGCCAGAGGAAGCAGACATTTTGTAGTAGTACACAAATGTTTACTCTTAGCAGACATTTTTTCAACTTTCAAACACTAAATATAATATAAAAATAAATACAAATCCCTGGGCAAATTACCAGCAGAGGAAGAAAACAAAATGGTGTGGCAGCACAGAACAACTTCTTCAAAAATTTCACAATCTAACTGTATTGTATCACTTACTGTATACTCAAGTATAAATTTTGTGAAATATTTAAAAACCCAGCATCAGATATAATGAAATGCTTCTTACTGGAGGAGCCCTGGTAGATTCCAGAAGGCTATCTTGCTAAGATTACTCCATACTAAAAGGCCACATCAGTTGTGAAAGTTGTGCTTAGCCTGCCAGAGATCAGAGCCAGAACATAGCCTCCTCATAGAAGTGTAGGGAGCAAGTGACAATTTGACACCCCACCAGAAAATGACTCCAGAAAGTCAGAGAAGCTTTACAGAAAACTGTAGGGTTCACAGAAAACAAAGCCTCAAAACTGATAAACAACTCTGCAAACAGTTTACACAGGACAAGGGATTCACTCAAACTAGTTCAAAATGCATTGGTATCGACTACCACCACCAGGTGGCCCATCCCCAGTCCTCAGTTGGCTCCCCATTTTAGTTCTGTTGATGATGTAGTGAACAATAGTTCTACCCAAGGTGTTCTTGTCTGCTAATCATGGGCAAGCCCTCTTTGCTTCAAGCTAAGTGCCAGCCATCCTTGGACTTTGTTTGTCCTGCAGTGGCCATTTGCTTTTGGTACTGTTCTTTATTTTAGTGTTAGTTTCACATGTGTGTTTTCAATCTAGCTTGTTGAGTGGGCTTGGATTTTGTTGTGTTTTGGGTTGCATGCGCTCAGGAATTTTCTTCACTTAGTACCCGTTAATGCTGCCCTTGCACAGAGTAATCTTCTATAGAGTATTTGGGAGTTGACTCCTGAAAGGCCTGGTGTTATGATCTCAGCCTGCAGGAGAAACGAGTCTCCCTTCTTGAGAGTTATTCAGCAAGCCTGACCTAACTAGAAGGTCTAGCAAATATTGAGGTGATAACCCATATGTAAAATGGCTGGTTGGATATGTATAACAGTTTGAGATTATGGGCAATGCAGAAGAAAATAGATAAATGACGGGCTAGGAGATGTGGACATTTTGCTGGAGGCGTGAGGCTCGCTTCTGGAGGACCTTGACCTCACTTGAGTGCCAGACATCGCAGGGGGAAGCCGCGCTCCGTTGAGCTCCCGTCAGAAGGGAACCCCTAGTGATATATCTCTAAGAGAAGAGAAGTGCGCAGACGTGCCAGCTGTGGAATCGAACTGGGGACGTGTGGTCTCAAGTCGTGGACGATAATTAGTGAATATTAAGCCGCCCGGAGGCATTATTGTGGGCCGTGGGAGCGCCCTGACCAGACGCCGTCAGAGGGAAAGCGCCCTCGACCAATTAATCTGTGGTAAGCACGATATACGCCAGTTCATAGTGATCACTTGTAGTTGGTCGTGTGCCCAGCGACAGTAGCAATGTTTATTTATAAGTTAGGCATGTTTTAATAAGGCAGAAAGCCTGAAATAAGAGAGTGGAGAGGGAGGAACACGGAGCGACGTCCGCCCCCTCTGAGCGCTGGCGGACGACTGAGGGAGCCTGGCTCCGGATGGAGGAAGACCCTCCCAGCGAGTGAGGACCGCCGCCAGGCGAGGTGGAGTATGGACCCGCCCAAAACGGGGGAGTCCACTCTCACTGTATGTAGAGAACAGATAGAGGTTTGAGGCAAACATATTGTGTGAATATTTTTTGTTTATGTGTTAAAGGGGAACATTTTATTGGAGTGTCGATGGGTTGCAGGTTTGTCTTTTGGGGAAGAAGTTGCTGAGAACTCCGAAGCCAGCAGATGAAGTAGCTGATGAGACTCCAAGGTAGTGGAGCAGAGGACCTCGAGCTGTGAGGAGAAGCAGCAGTGAAGAGGAGTGTCACGTGCTTCTGTAGAGGTGGTGTAGCAGCCAAGAGAGCTGTGGAAGAACCTAACAGAAGGGTGAAGCACCGTAGTTGCACAAGGAAACTTCATGATAGCAGCCTGGAGGAGCTGCAGAGGATCCTGGTAGTGAAGCCCGGCAGAACCTAAAGATATTAGGGTAGTGAACTTCCAGAGGTGGAAGGGGAAGTTCTGGTGGATTACTTATAGGGAGTTGATAGTGTTTGGTTGTCATTAGCGTGCAAGACGCAGTGAGAGGTGAGTGACTGTTTGCATTCTTATGTCAAGGAGTGATTTAGTCTGAAGCTTAGAGTTGCAGTCGTAGGCTTGATTACCTACAGATGTATGTGCTCGAGGACTGACAGTGATCGATTAATCATTGTTGTGTATCAATGAACATTTATACTGATATATGTTATTGCATTCAAATGCTGGTATTCTATATACACATTATCTTGCTGATAGTGCAACAGTGTATGTAGGCTTGACCAACTTGAGGAGGTTAATAGTATCAGGTGGTAACCAGGAGATAGGATACCACTTGATAAGCTGATAATAGAGTTCTGATGGTGTTGGAGTGCAACCTGATTGTGATATTATAGAGTATAGGATTCATTATTATTATATGTGTGGATGTATCGTGTATGTGCTTTGTCCAGTAAATGTGTCACAATTTGCTGGTGTTTGCCCTTGTCCTAGTGAGGCTTCCCAGGAGGTAGTAAAGAAGGAGAGAGAGAGAGAAAGAACCAAGAACCACTGCCGTGGACAGGGTAAAAGGTAATACTAATAAGTCAAAAAGGGGATTGAGGAGATCATATCACCTAAGGAGAGAGTGGGGAGTCACAGCGGCTCGAGTGGGTGTGTGCACGTGACAACGAGGCTAAATGTTGGAGCCGCATCCCCTAAACGTGTGACGTTGAGCCCCTCTCCAAGAGCCAGAAGCGCCAAGGGTGATCTCCTAGTATAAGCACTCTACCGAGTTGTGGGTTGGGTTGTCCGTAGAGAAGGATCAACGACGACAACACCAACCAACCCACGAGTCTATAAGACTGGCCACCAGGGTGGAGAGCCTCACCTTGGGCTAATCACAAATGTCAGCTTTCTAAGCTGCTCTTATGAAACAAAATCAGCAAGGTTTTTAAGATCTGAATGCTCTGAGGATAAAAATCTTATAAGCTATGTCAAAAGACAACACTTTAAGTCAAATTGCTCAAAAGTAGCATGAACAATTTAAGAGTCATATGTGCTATTCAAAATTAAGCAGCTAGTGATAATGTGCTATAGAAACGCAGGACATAAAGCCTATATACAAGTACAATACTGGCAAACTGTGTAGTACATAGCAGTGCAATTAAAGCCATATCTGAAGTACTGTTGTAATTAGAAAGGATGTGTAATAATAGGTGGCAAGGATATACATTGTACTGGGAAAAATAGCATAAGATACAGAACCTGCAATAAAATGTTTCATGCCCATAAATCCATATAAAGAATACTCACACTTTTTTCTTTGACCTGGCTGGGGAAGTCATGCCTTTTCTCTTCTGTGGTATATCTTCGTGTGCCACAATAGTAAGGCCTCCATCATCATCCGACTCTTCATCACTAGTTTCTCCATCACACTGCTTTGTGACAACATTAACTTTTTCTTGTGACTTTTGAAACTTGAAGGGTGTTGTGCTGGGAATTTTGAACTTTTTGCAATTAGAACCTGTAAATTAACAGAAACAGCATTAAATGTAATGAAACACTTCTTTCTAGTGAGTTCAAGGTGACTCCAAGTTGATAGCCACCTGTGTAACTCTACACACATCATCACACCAGGCCTTCCAGGGATATCATTAGACATACAGCGTACTGGAGACCAGAGGCCAAAACTTGGCTCCAGCAGAGAGGTGCAGAGAGCAGGGGATGTAAGGTAAATCAAATCTAAACAACTCTGAAAATGAAGCACACAGTTGTTAGGGTGTTCACCTGCTAGTATCAACTGACCACTGCCAAGTAGTAGCACCGGAAGCCCTCAGACCATCCAGTGCAACTCGTCAAGTCATTAAATGACTAAGAGCAAAAATCGACACACCTAAAAGAGGAAGGGAGGATCTAGGAAGCCACTTCAGACCCATCAGAAAGAGGTAATTCAGTACATTCAACACTAGTGTTCTGGGAGTGCTTCATCAGTGGCTCTCCATTACAATCTCACCATAGAGAACAAAAATAAAAAAGAGCACTTGCCAGGGGTGGAGGAGAACAGAGGCTAGTAATCTCTGTAGGAGGGTGTGAGAGATGTGGAATTCTCATTGCCTTGAAGAGTGCAAGGGTTGTGCATGACAAGGTAATGGAGTGGATTTGCTGTCTTGTGCACTTTGTGCACAGGTCCTCAAGCTGCTTTGCCTGCAGCTAGGACTGTTGTGTTTACTATCTACAGATACGGCACAATGTGAGCAGTTCAGCAATACTATGGTGGCTGTCTTACGTCATTGCTAGGATATGCTACAAGAGGAAGAAGATCAGCTATCTTACCACACATGTATTTAGCTGTGAGGAAGAGAATGATGGGGGGGGAAGATGTAGTCTGGTGGTACTGATTCTCATTACTACCTAGTATCTCTCTAGGTATTCCCTCAGGCAATCCCTAGAGATACTGAGAGTATCTTTCAAGGGATTGCCTGAGAGTAGAGGTCAGGTCAGTACACCAAGCATCAGTTCATACACTGTTCCCTAGTTTCTGGAATATTTTAAACTTTTTACCAGTTTGGGGAAGTTCCACTCTCCCTAAGCATATCAAGAGCTGCTCTGTTATTGGTTTACCTGCTTGATACATGCTTGATAGGGTTCTGGGAGTTCATCTACTCCCCAATCCTGGCCCAAGGCCAGGCTTGACTTGTGAGAGTTTGGTCCATCACTGTTGCTTGGAGAGACCCACAGGTCCAGAAATCCACCACAGCCCGGTTGGTCCGGTCCGGCAAGATAGTTTTCTTGAAGAAAACTATCTAGTTTATTCTTAAATATGTCCATGGCTGTTCTGCCAATATTACTTATACTTGCTGGGAGGATGCTGAACAACCGTGGACCTCTGATGTTTATGCAGTGTTCTCTGATTGTGCCATACCCCTGCTCTTTACTGGTTCTATCTCATTATGATATCTGTCAATTCATTAGTGTATGCATCTCTGAGTATGCTACATAAAGAGAAGAGCTAACCACCCATGATGCTGGTGCGATGATCGCCATTCTGAAATTGGCAGCAAAGCCGTGTGGAAGTTTATGTGCTGTTCCCAACTTAGCAAAGAAGGAAAGCAATCCTGGCCGGGGAGGATTTACTGGGCGCAATTCCTTAACTGTAGCCTCTGTTTAACGCAACAGTAAAATGTGTACTTGGATGAAAAAACGATTCTTCGCGGCAGGGGATCGTATTCCAGGGACCATAGGATTAAGGACTTGCCCGAAACGCTACGCGTACTAGTGGCTGTACAAGAATGTAACAACTCTTGTATATATCTCAAAAAAAAAAAAAAAAAAAAAAAAAAAAAAAAAAAAAAAAAATCGCCTGACTGCCATTGAACTTCTCTATTGCTAATTGCATTTTCCGACTTCTGTCCCATGAAATCACCAAGTCATGTTCTCATTTTTATAGATGATCATTAGAGGAACTTGGATGATCTACCCGACAGTACTAACATGCAAGATGATTCAATGAAATATCTGTCCCAAAAATTGACCACCAAGTGCTGTCAAGGATTGGGTTTAGGGTCTGACGACTTCCAATTCTTTTGAACAGTGTGGTTTAGCGGGTTAAGTACTGGATACATTAAAATGCATGGAGCCCTGGTTGTCTGAGTTCGAATCCTTCAGGGGTGAAGAATTTTTGGTTGCATATTGGCTTGGGGACCATTCAAGCTTGTTCGCATATATACATACAGAGGAGCCTCAGTTAACGAATTTAATCCGTTCCGGCACTGAGCTCGTCATGTGAAATGCTAATCTAGTGAAACGAATTTGCCCCATTTAAAATTAATGAAATAAAATTAATCCGTTCAACCCCCGAAAAGCATCAATATGACATTTTTATAACGTAATTATAATACATGTAATTATTATAAATGTTTTGTTTTACTGTTTTCAATTGTACTCGAAACGTACAAATGAATTTGCCCAAGAATTTGCAAGAACCGCACCACATAGTTTTCTTGTTAACCGAGCAGAAGCTCGTCAATCGAGACAAATTTTCCACGAGATACTCGTAGATGGGGCTGCTCGTCACCCGAGGTTCCTCTGTATGTATGTATTCACCTAGTTTTTTTTTTTTTTTTTTTTTTTTTTGCTTGAGGGGGTTGAGCTCTGCTCTTTCAGCCCGCCACTCAATCAACAATTACTATTTTTTTCCACCCCCAACCCCCAAGAAGCAGCCAGTAACAGCTGTCTAACTGCCAGGTACCTATTTACTGCTAGGTAACAGTAGCATCAGGGTGAAAGAAACTCTGCCCATTTGTTTATGCCAGCCCCAGGAATCGAACCCGGGCCACATGGCTACGTATCAAGCGTGTTGTCCACTTAGCCACCGGCCCGTACATACATGTATGCCCCATACATGTATATCGAGTTCATCAAAACAAAAAATCATCTATTTTCTGTCCTACATTATGGTTTGTTGAAGTTGAAGCTTTAAGGCCACAGCTCTATAGCCATTATTGTCTGTAATCAAAGCTAAATTTACCAGGCAGTGGTTACATATCAATCATTTTTTTGTGCTCAATTAATCTATGATCTGCTTCTTAATGTTACTAAAACTACTAAAATAAAACATTAAATATATAAAAGAAGACAAACCTGCCACCAACTTGAGGGACTTATCAGGAGATGGAGTGCTACTTCTATTTCTTTTTCTTGGAGACACCCTTTGGTTTACAATATTTGTCGGAGTATCATCATCTTCTAATACATTCCCAAAATCTAATTTTCTTTGCTTCTTTGGTGTTTTATGAGTTTGTAGTGCAGCATTATTTTCAGCTAATGGTCTTTCGCAGCTGTCATGAAAAACAAAAAAAGGTCTGAGCATAGATAAAAAACAAACTCCTTTCTGAGCAAGTCAATATGTTGCATCCTTAGACAAGTGTTCAGCTCTCCTCAGAATAGAGGTGACATTTTTTCAAGTAGTTCCTACCTGGTATGCATAAAATAAGACACACTGAAGATCTCAATCCAACCCAGAATGATCATCAAAAGGTTCATTCAACTACAATACAGAACACTCAAAATAACTCCTCCATGCAATACTGTACTGAACCGTACTTCACTTCAAAGAGAAAAACTACCAAATATTACTCTGTTAAATTTCTGGTTAGTAATTTGGCAGCAACCCCAACCTACAACCAGATATGTGAGGACTCAGCTATGAGGAGACATGATCACAACATACAAGATACTGAGGGATATATACAGTGTGGACAAGGGCAGCATATTAAATTTAAGGGACATATGACAAGAAGACATTAGTGCAAACTGGATATACAATTAAATCTTGAACATGTACAGTAATTCTTGTATTCTGTACCGGTGATCAGTAAGTGGAATGCATTAAAGGAAGAACTTATCACACTCTCTTCTATCCAAATATTAACACCCCACACAATAAAAACTAACCTGGCATTAAGAAAATGTAGTTCCTTCAGTAATCCTTCAGTGGGAAAATCATGATCAGAGTCTTCAGTTTCGGTCTCTGTTTCTCTCCTCGTGTGCACCAATGGTGAATCTTCAGAGTCCTCTTCCTCTCCCTCCGTTTCAAAATCCTCATTTTCCTCACTTTCTTTTTTACTGTCTTCATTGTCATCTTGTGTAGGTGAACAAGTTGTGCTAGCAGATTTTTCTTCTGATAACTTTTTTAAATCTGAAAAGTCATTATTTCCAACTTTTATCTCTACTGGATGTTTACATTCACCGTTTTGGATTATGACGCTCTTCTCCACGGTTGTGTCATGAATTTGATTCTTTTCACTAGATTTAGTCAATTCTGGTGATATTTCCCTTTCAACATCTCGTAATTCTTGAATATCGCCATCTTCATTTCCAAAATTGACTTTACAAATATTATCTTTAACGCTCGTAAATGAGACACTCTGACTTGTATCATGGACCCATAATTTCTCAGGAAAAGTTATTTTACTATCATCACACAGATTCTTAGAGCTTAACTTTGGATTATTATCTGGTGGATCTTTACTTTCTGCCAATCCAGACACATTTAAAACTACTTTATCATCACTATTTATTTCTTCCGTAAGACTTTCAGCTGTAATCTGATAACTTTCTACAAGTTCCTTTTCAGTGTATTTTATATCTGTCACAAGATGTTCTCGTTTACCATTCTCATCTTCATTATCTCTCTCATTTTCTAAATCTTTCAATATTTCTGTCGAATCCTCATCAGCTTCAGCCATACTCTAGTTAACACTTTTGTAGTTATGAAAATGTCAATACACTACATGAGAGCTTTCTAAACCTGAAAATTAAAAGAATTAATTAATTAATACAAAGGTGTAATAAAAATTCAAATGCTGTATTCAAGTTCAATGTTTTTTAATGACCAGGATAACTGTACAGCCACTAGGTAAATAGAGGATAAATTTGTATTAGCATAACCATTTAGGATTACTAAACACACATTTTTATATAGTGTGTTATAGAAGGTCATAGTGTTATAGTATAACATAAGTGTCATAGTATAGTGTGTTATAGAAGCCGGCTTCCTGTCGTCGTCAAGGCCACTAGTGTTAGTGGCCCTCATGTAAAATACTGTAACGTAAGTTTAAATTTATAAACTAAAATTTTTCCTTTAGTTACCGTACCAAAGTCTACTTTCAGCATATCTGGGGATATATTCAACTCGAGGAACCTCATTTAGTCAACAAATCCTCCCGAAAATATGAGCAACTAACTGGAAATATTATCCAGAGGCAAAATGCAGCAAGAGGGAGAGAGGAGCGTGGTGGTGTGGGAGGAAGAGTGACGAGGCCACGGCCGCCTCCTCCAGGAGTCACCACAACAACTGACATGTAAACACTACAGAGCTTCCCGCATGGTTCTCTTTCAACACACTTTGAAATAAATAAATAAATAAATGGTTATTCTGGTAAAAGTATATACATACAAGATGAGTTACATAAGAGAATGTTGGATTTCTAGATAGAGCTATAGTACATATTATGCCTTAAGCCACTAATACCCACAGCATTTCAGGCAATATTTTTTTGTATTTATTATATTTATTTATTTATATTGTATTTATTTATATATACAAGAGTTGTGTCATTCTTGTACAGCCACTAGTACGCATAGCGTTTCGGGCAGGTCCTTAATCCTAGTTTTCCCCGGAATACGACCCGCCAAATCGTTTAACAACGGTACCCATTCACTGCTGAGTGAACAGAGGCTATAGTTAAGGGGCCGGATTCAGGAAGGTACTTACGAAGGTTTTTCCTCTTAGCTAAGAGCGTTTTCCGTCTTAGCGCCTTCGTGGCGGCTACGTCCGTATTCAATTAACTACCCTAAGTGGAAAAACCTTCGTAAGTTCATTCCGGGATTTAAGTGTGGTTTCGACCACTCGTAGCTTTACGTAAGCTGGATATAAGTCATTTTTTCTCTACTACATAACACTGGGATCGATTTATGATATTGGAACATGACCAAAATATTATAGCTGGTGAATCTAGTGAAGAGGAATCCTTCGTGTTAGTTATATATGCATTCTCTGCTTGAAACTTGAAGTAAATATGTGTTTGATGATAGTAGAATTAGTTTTATAATAGCAAGATATTATACCAGTAGTTATTAAGTAAATAAACACTGGTGAACATGAAATATGAGAGAAGGTGATGAGCCCTGCCTGATGGGATCATTTACTATCACCAAATGCCCCTGTTCACCTAGTAGTAAGGGTGTACCTTAGCTATACATACCCATTTCTAATTTATTTAGTTTGGTTTTGTTTTGAAATTAAATCTGGGTGAGACATAAAATAAAAATATGCTGCACAAATGATGTTAGGTAAGGAAAAGGGTAAAAATGTCAAAAACTTTATTCATTGAATACTTAAAGCTGTAATTATGACTATATAGATTATTAAAAAAGAGAGAGGGAAGTAGGGGTCCAAGACCTCTTCCTGTTATACAATTTGGGTGTGGAACAAGTAATTATCAAAAGAAGGCACCATGCCGGGAAGGCTATGTAGCAGTGAGGTGAGGCAGCTACTTATTTGAGAAATGCTTATTTTATTTACCTTATAAGCTGAGGCAAGTTATTTTATTTGAGGAATACTCAGCTGATTCCTCTACATTTAGCATGGAACAAATTTGTGTCCAAGACCTCTTCCTGTTACTCAATTTGGCTGTGTGTAACCAAACTAGAAGTGCTCTACAAATCAAGGGACCCAGAATGTGGAATGACCTCCCGAATCAAGTCAAAGGCTGTACCTCTCTCAACCAGTTTAAGAGTTAAACCAAGTACTGCCAAATTAACTCCATGTAACCTAACTTACCTCCTAAATGTCAACCCATGTCTTGCTATTTTTTAAACAACGCTGTTCACCAACATGTGCAAGCCCTACCAAGACCCCACCCCCAAGCCCTACCAAGACCCCACCCCCAAGCCCTACCAAGACCCCACCCCCAAGACCTACCAAGACCCCACCCCCAAGCCCTACCAAGACCCCACCCCCCAAGCCCTACCAAGACCCCACCCCCAAGCCCTACCAAGACCCCACCCCCAAGCCCTACCAAGAACCCACCCCCAAGCCCTACCAAGAACCCACCCCCAAGCCCTACCAAGAACCCACCCCCAAGCCCTACCAAGAACCCACCCCCAAGCCCTACCAAGAACCCACCCGAAGCCGGACAGACACCCTCCTGGAGCCCGAACAGTCACCCACCCAGAGCCCGCCAGTTGAGTGAACCGGAGCCCGCCAGTTGTGTGAACTGGAACCCGTCAGTTGAGTACCTGGAGTCTGCCCCGAGCCCGACCGAGAACCCACCCAGAGCCCTACCGAGAACCCACCCCGAGTCCTATCAAGAACCCACTCTGAGCCCTACAGAGAGCCCACCCTGAGCCTGACCAAGAACCTACCCCGAGCCCTACAGAGGTAACCCAAGCCCGAGAGTCCATCCCGAACCCGAAAGAGCCCACCCCGAGCCTGACCGAGAGCCAACCCTAAGCCCTACCAAGAAGCCCTACCAAGAACCCAAGCCCTACCAAGACCCACCCCCAAGCCCTACCAAGAACCCACCCCCAAGCTCTACCAAGAACCCTTCCGAAGCCGGACAGACACCCACCTGGAGCCCGAACAGTCACCCACCCGGAGCCCGCCAGTTTAGTAAACCGGAGCCCGCCAGTTGAGTGAACCGGAGCCCGCCAGTTGAGTGAACTGGAACCCGTCAGTTGAGTACCTGGAGCCCGCCCCGAGCCCGACCGAGAACCCATCCCGATCCCTACAGAGAACCTGCCCTGAGCCCTACCAAGAACCCACCCTGAGCCCTACAGAGAACCCACCCTGAGCCCAACCAAGAACCTACCCCGAGCCGTACAGAGGTTCCCCAAGCCCGAGAGCCTATCCCGATCCCGAAAGAGCCCACCCCGAGCCTGACCGGGAGCCAACCCCAAACCCTACCAAGAACCCACCCCCAAGAACCCACCCCCAAGCCCTACCAAGAACCCACCCCCAAGCCCTACCAAGAACCCACCCCCAAGCCCTACCAAGAACCCACCCCCAAGCCCTACCAAGAAACCTCAAGCCCTACCAAGAACCCAGCCCCAAGCCCTACCAAGAACCCACCGCAAGCCCTACCAAGAACCCACCCGAAGCCGGACAGACACCCACCTGGAGCCCGAACAGTCACCCACCCGGAGCCCGACCAGTCAAACATCCGGAGCCCGCCAGTTTAGTAAACCGGAGCCCGCCAGTTGAGTGAACCGGAGCCCGCCAGTTGTGTGAACTGGAACCCGTCAGTTGAGTACCTGGAGCCTGCCCCGAGCCCGACCGAGAACCCACCCAGAGCCCTACCGAGAACCTACCCTGATCCCTACAGAGAACCCACCCCGTGTCCTATCAAGAACCCACCCCCAAGCCCTACCAAGAACCCACCCGAAGCCGGACAGACACCCATCTGGAGACCGAACAGTCACCCACCCGGAGCCCGACCAGTCAAACACCCGGAGCCCGCCAGTTTAGTAAACCGGAGCCCGCCAGTTGAGTGAACCGGAGCCCGCCAGTTGTGTGAACTGGAACCCGTCAGTTGAGTACCTGGAGCCTGCCCCGAGCCCGACCGAGAACCCACCCAGAGCCCTACCGAGAACCTACCCTGATCCCTACAGAGAACCCACCCCATGTCCTATCAAGAACCCACCCCCAAGCCCTACCAAGAACCCACCCGAAGCCGGACAGACACCCATCTGGAGACCGAACAGTCACCCACCCGGAGCCCGACCAGTCAAACACCCGGAGCCCGCCAGTTTAGTAAACCGGAGCCCGCCAGTTGAGTGAACCGGAGCCCGCCAGTTGAGTGAACTGGAACCCATCAGTTGAGTACCTGGAGCCCGCCCCGAGCCCTACCGAGAACCCACCCTGAGCCCGACCAAGAACCTACCCCGAGCCCTACAGAGGTTCCCCAAGCCCGAGAGCCTATCCTGATCCCGAAAGAGCCCACCCCGAGCCCTATCGAGAACCCACCCTCCAAGCCCTAGCGAGAACCCCCCCCCAAGCCCTACCGAGAACCCACCCCCCAAGCCCTACCGAGAACCCCCCCCCCCAAGCCCTACCGAGAACCCACCCCCCAAGCCCTACGGAGAACCCACCCCCCAAGCCCTACCGAGAACCCACCCCCCCAAGCCCTACCGAGAACCCACCCCCCCAAGCCCTACCGAGAACCCACCCCCCCAAGTCCTACCGAGAACCCACCCCCCCAAGCCCTACCGAGAACCCCCCCCCCCCCAAGCCCTACCGAGAACCCACCCCCCCAAGCCCAACCGAGAACCCCCCCCCCCAAGCCCTACCGAGAACCCACCCCCCCAAGCCCTACCGAGAACCCACCCCCCAAGCCCTACCGAGAACCCACCCCCCAAGCCCTACCGAGAACCCACCCCCCAAGCCCTACCGAGAACCCACCCCCCAAGCCCTACCGAGAACCCACCCCCCAAGCCCTACCGAGAACCCACCCCCCAAGCCCTACCGAGAACCCACCCCCCAAGCCCTACCGAGAACCCAGCCCCAAGCCCCTCCGAGAACCCAGCCCCAAGCCCCTCCGAGAACCCAGCCCAAAGCCCTACCAAGAACCCAGCCCCAATACCTACCAAGAACCCACCCCAAGCCCTACCAAGAACCCACCCGAAGCCGGACAGACACCCACCTGGAGCCCGAACAGTCACCCACCCGGAGCCCGACCAGTCAAACACCCGGAGCCCGCCAGTTGAGTGAACCGGAGCCCGCCAGTTGAGTGAACTGGAACCCGTCAGTTGAGTACCTGGAGCCCGCCCCGAGCCCTACCGAGAACCCACCCTGAGCCCGACCAAGAACCTACCCCGAGCCCTACAGAGGTTCCCCAAGCCCGAGAGCCTATCCCGATCCCGAAAGAGCCCACCCCGACCCCTACCGAGAACCCACCCCCCAAGCCCTACCGAGAACCCACCCCCCCAAGCCCTACCGAGAACCCCCCCCCCCAAGCCCTACCGAGAACCCACCCCCCCCCATGCCCTACCGAGAACCCCCCCCCCCCAAGCCCTACCGAGAACCCCCCCCCAAGCCCTACCGAGAACCCACCCCCCCAAGCCCTACCGAGAACCCACCCCCCCAAGCCCTACCGAGAACCCCCCCCCCCCAAGCCCTACCGAGAACCCACTCCCCCAAGCCCTACCGAGAACCCACCCCCCCAAGCCCTACCGAGAACCCACCCCCCCCCAAACCCTACCGAGAACCCACCCCCCCAAGCCCTACCGAGAACCCAGCCCAAAGCACTACCGAGAACCCAGCCCCAATACCTACCAAGAACCCATCCCAA